AATAATTATGATAAATAAAAATTAAATTAAATATAAAATTAAAATAATTTTTAAAGAAAAACTTCTAAAAAGTAAAAACAAATTCACATAAAATAATAATTCGTATTATATATATATATAAAGAGATGATTAAAAAATTAAAACAAAACATTTAATTTTAAAAAAAAAATGATATGATAAAAAATTTAATTTTGTTTTTAAAAAATAACACTAAGACATTTTTATCAATTAAAAAATATATAAGTACATTCTTAAATTGTAAAGTTTTCAATTAATTTGCAACTGTGCACCTATATTGCATAATTATATAATTCGGAAAGAAGTTTCCTTTAAGGTTAGGTCAGGTTAGTGGGCCCAACCCTACAGGGTACAACTGCAGGTCAAGCAATTGTGTTAGACGGAAGTACCGATAAAAACATTCTCAGATTTTATTGCCTGATAAAGTGATAATAGCAACTTTTTGTTAATGCTAAACGGAAAATAAATAAATAAATAAATCTCCAATACTTTGTGAGTCACTACTTACTACCTTTTGTACTTGTATGTATGTATTTCATTTGGCCCTTTAGAAATTCCATAATATCATCTCCGTTTCTCTTTCTTCTTTTCATTTAAAAAGATAACACAAAATCTAATTTACATCCTCATTTCTGTGAAATTTAACTTGAACTTTCTAATATGATCTACATTATTTATCTCGTGTTAATATTAGATATATTAAATATTTAAAAATCGGATAAAAATAAAAAACATAAATGAAAAGATAATAATTGATACTATTTTAAACTTCTAAATAAACAATAAATAAAAATAAGATTTTCGTTTAAGAGTAGACAAATAAAATGAAAAAAAAAGTATTTTATAGACAAAAAAAAACTTGGCTCTAACTTCACATACGCGGATGATATCTTCTTTTAAATTATTTCAGGGGTCGAAATAAATCAGATGATAATTGATGAAGGTTTAGTTTTAACCATACGAATATGACCAAAACTCCCATCAAACTCTTGCCTCCGTCTTGGTTGGCTTCTTCACTAACTTGAATGCATCAAATATTGATTCCTTTGGTTGAACTGTGGCATTCTGGATAGAGTGTTCTGCTTGATGTGAAGACCTCTTTAATATCTCCAAAAGAGATACCTTTGACTTTTGAGGTGCAGAATTTAAGGTGGCATTTTTGTTCTGTGTATTTCTTTGGAACTTGACAGAAGCCGCTTTTTGTGGTTGACTCTCCCTTGGAATCTGTTAAGTTCATCAGGAAAGAAACGGATTACCAACATTGGCAAATTGACAAAACAAGCACGCAGTGTTAACTGTTGAGTGTCAACCATCAGGGATATAAATGGAAACCGATATTTGCATACTTGTTATCATCATTATCCATTAGCATCAAGTCCAATAAACACTACTAATATTATGCAAAACATAGATGCAAAAGAGTACTGTAAAATATTTTTTTCATATGATGAATTATTAGTATTGGAATGTTGACCTTCCTACTAGTAAAAATATTTGGAAGAGTATTTGACACGCCTTATTAAAAAGTTATACTATGATCCAATAATGTACGGTTATATTATTAAAAAGATTAACTTTAATATAATCATTATGATAGTCAAACTTTTAATTATATACGGCAAAGATGATGTTATACGCATTTTACTATAGTAGTGCTTCAAATCAACTTATTGAAGTAATGGCAACAATTATTCAAAAAGCACAAAAAAGTTTATGGTATACTGTGCTAGCTTTCTGATTTCAGATGTTCGTTACCGTATCTGAAGAATCCTCTGACATCAATATTGAACTCCTGCTGTTGCTGTCATCTCGCCCAAATATATAAGATCGGATCTTGCAGGATCCCTGCTTTCGAGAAGGGGGCACAAAACGATCTGAAGCCCGGCCGATAAAAGATGACTGAAATATTTACAACACAATGAAAGACTAAGAAACGGCATCTTATATATAGCTCAAGATACTCATGAGAACACATTCCTGTGATTCAAGTATATCGTGGAAAATGTTCAGATAAGAGTATCTAAACATATAAAATTAAATAGCTTTTTGTTCCGAATCTGGCAGTTTACACTAACCAACCTTCGATGATATATTTGTGTTCTGTCCAATACCCGGCATATCCAAGATGGCTGCAGAATAAATTAATGACAAAAAATTAGTATTCCCACAACCTAAAAGCATGATTGATATGCATTGCATAGGTTAGCTCACTGCAATGAGGTGAAATTAATAGATCTTACAAGTAGTTTTTCCTTTTCTCTTGGTGTCGGGCACATTTAACTTCTTTATGAGACTGAAAACTTCCTTGCTACTTTCATCCTCAGCAAGTGAAAAGAATTCAGCTTTCTCTTCCTGTTGTACATTACAAATTTAGATCAATTCCTATTTGCTTACACGAGTATCTCAGAACATGCAGAGATGGAAATGCAATGAACTTCAGTAAAAACAAAGTGATGGTAAACTACCGCAGACATTTATAGAAGAGATCATAAACTTCAGTACACATTTATACAGTGTTGCTTAGAAGAGAGAACTTACAGTTTTATAATAGAAGCGTTGTCTAGCAAGCTTCTCCTTAGTTTCCTCATCATCAGATGATACATATTTATCATCTTTATCTGTAAACATCAGGGGGATCATCTGCTTCACTTTTTTCAGAGTGATCTTCATATCTTCTGATCGAGCAATGTATTCTTCAGCTTCATCATCTGATTCATTTTCAGTTTCTCTGCTTTCTTCCTCTTCCTCTTCAATTAATGGTGCTTCTTTCAACTTGGAACCACAATTAAGTTTCTGAAGTAGATTATCCATTCCAGCTGCATCCTGCTGCTCAAGCCACTGCTGATGGAGTTGGTCACGCTTTTCTCTATCAATTGACTTTTCTTCATATTGAGTTGCAATCATGTCCTTAAGTTCCTCAATCTCATCATCATCTTCTTCACCTTCTTCATTATCTTGAAAACGCTGTAGGTCGTTATCGCTGTCATCTTCCTCTTCTGCTTCTTCGTCGACAAAAGCCCTAACAGGATCACCACTTGGTGATAAAGTCAAGTCAACTGATCCATGTACATGTGGATCTATGTTCTCCTTGTCATTGCCCTCCTCCTCCTCGTCAGAAGAGCTGGAAAAAAGAAGCAGTTGACATTTTATTTTTACTTTTAGAACAAGGAGAGGCAAAAGTAACCATGAACCAGTCTTTTACCATAACAAAATTAAAAAGTCATGATTTGTCAAATAAAAGGATCCGCTGGTCATAATTACACATATCAGTTAACTGCTTTGACGTCATAAGAAGAGTTTAGAAACATAAAGATACCGCATTGTTATTTTAACCCAATGTAAAAACCAGACTTAAGTTCTGAAAGAATGCTAGTTTCATAGTAGTATCAGCAACATTGTCACAGGTGGTGAAAATAGGCAATGGAGCATTGAAATTGAACATGATGAATAGTCAGCAGAAGCAAATCTGTAGAAAAAAACATGAAAATTTTAAACACTTACACATCATCATCAGGAGGAGCAGAATCAAGTTTCAAGTTCATTGCAAGCATCGATGGAGCAAAAACTTCTGAAGGGTTGTTAGACTTCTCATGTGCAGCCTCGTCTTTAGTATCACTTCTCTCGGAATCAGAGAAGAGTTCCTAGAAATTACAGGCATACAAGCAATTAGTATACAATATATATGGTTAAGGCAAGCATCTTGGCAAATGGCTGAAGGAAAACCTGAGTATCACCAATAGGAGCTCGAAATGCATGCTCAGATTCTGAATCCTTGGCCTGAAACTCAACAGATGCAGTGATTTAGATGACAATGGCATCTCATCGTGAGAGAAACGCAAATCCAAATAAACTAACTAAATAATTTGAACTAAGAAACGCAATCATATTAAATAAATGACATGTCCCATCTAGAATTTCAAATGTTCCAATTTATACACTTTAATCAAATTTCAAATGACAACAGATGCAAATACTACACTCTAAGCAGTGACCAGAACTTTTTTGGTGTACTATGACAACGAGATTTGAACAAAGAATCTATGCAAACTATCCAAAGTTCCAAATTCTACCGCTAGACCAATCATAGTGAGTTACTCGACCAAAACTAATTAATGCATTAGATTTTGTTATTTTGAGCTTAAGAAAATACCCAATGGTATTATATAATCAAAGTGTAATATTATATTAAGTCCAAATAAAGTGCATAATTTGACTTACCATGGGAGAAGGAATGCTTTCAGAACTTAAATTATTTGCAGCATCGTTAGAATCACCAATAGGTGGAGTGTTCAAATCACTCTTGGTGGCTGCAGGACAAGTAACTGGTTCACTCTTTTCTACTTTATTAGTCACATCCTCATCCATCGCGAAGTCATCATTATCTTCAAAAGAAGCACTAGATCTGCAAACCAACTACTCATGAGTATGTTTTTTAATGTTTAACAGGAAGTGCGTGCTAAGCAAAATCTTAAGGCAAATCCACCTACTTCTTTAAAATCTCCAACTTCCTCTGCCGAATTTTATTCAAAATGGAAGAAATAGGCTTCTGAACCACAGGAGCGGGTTTAAAAGCTGCATCTCTAGTTTCTTTTAAAAGCACAGTGAACTATTAGGATTAGTGGAAACTCGAAATAAAACTAGATCTAAAATCGATTAAAGCTTTCAAAAACTATTCATACCTCGAAGAAGTCTCTGAGACTCAGCTCGAAGCTGTTTGAGAGTTTCCTGCCTTTCCTGTTAGATCACAGAATCTGCAAATTAGTAAATCCAAAACCAAACGCATCGGAATTCAAAACGATTTAACAGAATATGAATATGCAGTTACGCGCCTTCTCGGCCTTTCTTTTATTGGAGGTAGATTCCTTCTGCTTCTTCTCACTGCCATCGCCGTCGTCGACTCTCTTTTTCTTCTTCTTTTCTTTCTTCTCGGGCAAGTCGTCTAAACTACGTCGTTTCCTCTCTCCTTCGCCGGTATTCAAATTCTCGACTTCTTCGCTGGTCTTCAGATCTCCAACTTCTTCGGCCTCCTCAGCAACTTTTCCGTGTTCCTCACTCACGGAATCAAAATCCAGAACCCTCTTGGCGCCCACGCCATCGTCCTCGACGGTTACACCTTTGGGAGTGTTGGGCCGAGGGCTTGGGCCCAAAGTTTCAAGTTCGGGCCCAGATTCGGCGTTTCCCGATTCAGGAAAATTGGTAGGAAGCGCAGAAGGGTGAGAGTGTTGGGGAGCCCTAGTTGCTTTCTTCAAGCGTTTGAGCTTTCGTTCGTGGACGGGAGAGGGAGGCAATAGCTGAAAGTCGTCGTCGCTCTCCATGGCCGATTCTGATTTGAATTTGATTGAACCACGATTTTCGATCCTGATACAGATTCCTCTTGCCTCGGCAAATAACAACGAATCGTTATATGATTCACTGATTGTAACCTAAAGAATTGGCGGTAAATGCTTTTGAAACTCGGCAAAACGCGCCAAGGGAAATATGTTTTTTTTTTTCTCTAAAATCTTTCAATGATCCGTTTTAGTCTCTTAAAAAAATTTTGTCATATTTTAATTCTTTAATTTAAGAAGTATATTTTTTATTTTTAAAATACTTTATATAATTATATAGTCTTTTATAATTACTTTAAATATTATCTAAATTGTTAAGAAAATAAAAAATATACATTTTTAAATTAGAACTAGAAGGGTAGAGACACTTCTTGCTTCTAATAGTTGTTCACTAATAAAATATTAGAAAGTTGTGTATAATTATTTAAAAAAAAATTAAAATTTTTTTATATCTAGAGATATAGTAGTCCATTAAAAAATAGAGACCAAAAAGCGGTTATATCTCCTCCTTTTATAATAGTTATAGATAATAAAATTATAATTTTTAAAAAAAAATTAAATCAAATTTTGAGAAATTTAAAATGACTAAAAACATATTTCACCATTCTTTTTATTTGACTAGTGTGCGAGGTGTTGTTTTTTAAAATATTAAAGATGCTATTATTTTAAAAATGTTAAAGTTTTTATTTTAATTTATATTTATTATACAATTATGATGTGAAAATAGTAAATAAAAAATAAAATGAATTTAAATGTATTTTTCATCCTTACAAATATCACTCTATCTAGTTTTATATTTTCAATCCCTATAAATATTACTATGTCCTATTTTAGTCCTAATGATTAAAAATATAAAATGTCATTTATGATTTTTTTTAAGTAAAGGAGAGTTTTAACCACTCATATGGTTAGGCATGGTAATAGGGTGGGATAGGGCAAGTTTTATGTTCCCATCCCTTGTCCCCGTAGATTTAAATTGTCCCGCTCTTGGACTTTTTTTTTCTGTTTCTATTAAATATGAAAAAAAATTAAAATAAAAAATAAAAGAGGTGAAGAGATGGAAAGGAGAGAGTTATGACTCATGACTCTAAGAAAAATGATACTAGGGTTTCTAATTTTGATTTATATATATAAGGATAATTTTGTAATTATGTTATCAAGCGAGGTAGGAACGAGTACGGGGGCGGGGGTGGGACAGGTATTAACATTTTCATCTCCGCCCCCATTCCTGATTTAACCAACTAAAAAAATTCAAACCCAAATAACATTGATTTTTCCTGTCCAAATTGGGACGAGTTCGGACAGGTACTAACAGAGTCGGCTTAGAATGTCATACCTGCTTATGGTCGGAGAGAAAGAAGTTAAGGATAATAAAAAGCATGAAACTTAAGTTTGATTCTTATTATAACCATCATTATTTAATCCGAAGAGAAATAAAGGAAAGTTCCTACAAAAATTTAAGAAGAAAGGAATAGAAACTAAATTTTTTGATTAATTTTGTACAATATTATATAAAGCATTGTTGATATTATGAGCAAGCACACCCAAGTCTCTACAATATAGTAAAAGGTTGTCGATTCTCGAGGATTTGTGAAGTAAAACTTGATTTCTATTATACTAATTGCTACTTTTAAGTATTCACGAATGTTAAGTAGTTGACATGAACAGTAAATTAAACTTAAGTAAACAAAACCAAACTAATTTCAAAGAAATACAGATATTTTAAGCAGTTTGGGATTAAATTTCATCAATCTCTCTCCTATGTATTCCTAATGATTCTTGCAAATAATTCTATTATTCATTACCATTAAGTTCTCTATATTCCTTATGAACCAATTCCTTGACATTAGAAATTCTAAGATATTTAACTTAATGAATGATTCCTCACTTCATCTAGTTAAATGTCTCACATTAAGAATCAGAACTTATTGTAACTATCAGTTCCAAAACCATTCGTAGCTTTCAAAGCTAATAGGTGATTCATTTCAAAACTAGATTCATAAAACGTTTCCAACCAAAATCTAAATACAAGATCAATGATAAATGATCAGTTTATCAAAACATTTTTAAGAACAGAATTCGAATCACTGGCACAGAATAATAGATATAATATATATATATATATATATATATATATATATGAATCAAAAAGGAATACATAGAAGTTCGATGATTACATTTAATCCTAACCAAAAAGTTATAGCCCTCCATAGTGAAGGAGATCACAAGTGAAATCAACAAAAAGAAAGGTAGCTGGAAGAGATTAATCCTAAGAATTACATTCCCACGAGCTCCAGGGTGTTGCGTTTGGTCTTTCTCTCTTTGTTCTTTCTTCGCAAAACCTTCGATAAATTTATTTTTTTTCCTCCCAATCCTTTTATATGTGTTGAAAATAAAACATAGCAGGCATGAGAGAGAAGAAACCGCTCAGCGCCTGGGAACTGCGCGCTGAGCAGATTGGAGAAATTTTCATCATGAAGGAATTCAAAGGGCTGAGCCCTTTTAATCTGCTGAGTGCCTGAGAGAATCCTTCATCCTTAAGTATTCAAAAGGGTTAAGCCCTTTAAATGCGCTAAGTGCTTTAGAGGCTGAGACTGCTTCTTCTTCAATGGCCAAACCACTCAACCTTTTTGAGGCACTGAGCCCTTTTGCCTTTGTTTCACCTATGTTACTCTCTGTCTTAAAAGCGCTCAACCCTTTAAAAGGGCTAAACCGTTTGCTCCAAGGGACTTCTTCTTGTTCCAATCTCCCAGATCTGCAAAACAAATAAATAATTGGTCACAAAATTCACCACTCCACAAAATCACTTTATTTAAAAGCCCTTTTGATTCTATTTATATTTGTCATAATTTTATCACTCTATTAAAAAAATTATGCTAGATAAGTGTCATAATTCAATAAATTCCTTAGACACAATTGACACTTATATATCAAGCATACTATTGTAAGCAAAAATGCAAAACAGATTTCTAACAAACTTATTTTATAACATTTTTTTATTATATTATTACTTATTTTGTATTTTTACTATAAAAAGAAAAGGACTATGATTTTTCTTTTGACTGCCAATAATTACTAATTAGTGAAAATCTTGTTAGCAGAATCCAACGCCAAAGTTCCATTCAGAATGGTTATGTTATGTAATAAAAACGTAACATTATTGTATTCATAGCCCTTGGTAATTGGTATGCATGAAAGTTAAATTCAGCGAGACTTTTCTGCCACACTAATGGTATTTATGTGTTTATCCGGATTTTTGTTTGTCCGGATTTTTGTTTGTAAGTTCTTTTTATTCAAACTAGCAAAATTTCAATTTAAGTATGTATAATGCGACAAGTTCTTACAATTTTTCATTGATAAATCATACATACAACATACAGAGTTAGTTATTTAGGATAAAATTATACTTGCTTAGTATAGAAGAATCTCTAGGCGTTCGTTGATATTTATCACACAATCGATTTCATGCATGTAAACATTAAGATTAATCTAATAACATGTATATTGATTGCAGAAATCATATCCTTCACTTTTAATAATGACAGAATTACAATGCATAAGGATAATAATGGGTGACTAACAAACTAAACTAGACCTAAACTACAAAGAAAAGAGAAAAAAATGGTAAAGAAATCGTACTCAGCAGTCTCGTACACAAGAGTCATATGTGTGGACAGAGTGTTATGAACCTTCGTAAGTACACTATTTCTGACCTCTTTCCACGAGCGTGACTTATTAATTTATAGAGATTTGAGGACTACAATAATTGTATCTATCATGCCACGAATGTACAATCGTTTTTAAACTTCCATATCGTGGGTCAATCATGCACGTCTTCTAATAACTTTCGGAACTGTTTATAACCTCCAAATGCTTATCCCTTTGATTTACTTCGACTTGTTTTTAGTCGGGGTTCCCCTAACTCCATCATTTCGAGAGGTTGCGAAATATTTTCATGAGTGGTAGAGTTTATAGAATTTTGAGTGCTTCGCGAAAGATATATTTGAGTATTTCCTGATTCTTCTTATACTTTACATGTTTTCAGGGCTCCTTTTTACTATTTTTTCGATCCCCTATAATTTTGAGCACCCTCGAGTTTAGAACACCCTTAAATTTCGAGTATTATCGAATTACCTTGTTTGCTCTAACATCATCATAAACTGAAATTGAAAGTCCTCCAATTAATAAACACAATCCTCACATAATAGGAGTGCTAGCAAGATAATCCGAATTAGAAATAACAATAAAAAAGTTTGAATTAAATCATGAAGCATAAAAGTGTACATTCGTAGGAACCCTGTAATCTAATGTTAAGCTTCCAGATTTCTCGAGGGTAAAAAAGTTTGAATTAAATCATGAAGCATAAAAGTGTACATTCGTAGGAACCCTGTAATCTAATGGTTAAAATGGGACCTTTGGTAAAAAAAGGCACTGGTCCTAGTCGCGTGAAGGTTGACATTGTCGGCATTGACAGTGATGTGATTATTACTTCAAACTTGTCTCCCCAATTTTTAGATTGTTATATTATTATACCCTTAAAAATAATGTAACAATCAACTCTATATTATTATCTATGGTTTTTTTTTTTAATCGTGCTTTCACTTTTACCCCAACTTCTAGTTAGTTTGTATCCCAATCACGTAATTTTGTACCCCAACTGGCTGATTACACAACGTCAAATTGCACAAACACATTCAGAAATCAAATTTACGAACCCTAAAGCCCTGTTGAGAATAATCCTAGCCTCACCTCTTCATCTACTCGAATTTTAGTTCATCAATTAGATTGTCCGATCCATTGTTTTTTAAGAAATAAAGAGAACGTCATCCCTGAAACACGATATGCTTTTTCTAAGAAAAAAATCCAAATGAAACTTTTAAAAACAGTATATAATATACAGCGTGCACGTACAAGCCTCTTTCTCAATTCTCACACACCCATCAAAAGCAAAAAAATAATTAATGTTCTCAAACACTCATTATTATTATTATTATTATTTGTATATTTCTCTTTTCTGTCTTATCTTATTATTATACATACACTTCTTTTTTTTCCTCACGAAATGTGAAAATATAGAAGTGTACATGAATCATTTGTTTAAAGGAAAAAATGAAATCAAACATTCACTCATTCACATATAAAGTACCGAAAACAAAACACGATTTACTTTTCCACATGAGTTTGGAGATTTTTGACGGAGGTAGGGTTCCAAACGAACATTTGTTGCCAAATCTCCATGAAAGCATGGACGATGACTGCATGATAACTCCGGGAGTTCAAAGCCAAGAAACACTGCAAAAGCTGCTCCAAGTCTTGCGCCTCAGACATCTCCATCTCCGTTATCATCTCCATCATCGATTTCTTGAAGTCTTCATAAGGATCCTTGGACTTTTTGACCACCGCGAAGCTCTCCCTCACCTTCCCCTCCACGCTGCTCCGCGTCACCGTCTTCTTCAGCCGCGCCGCCGCCGTTGCTCCGTGAAACCTCACTCTCTCAACCTTCTTCACGCTGCTCGTCTTCCTTCTCCGCCTGCTGCTGCTGCTGCTCAAATCTCTCGCCTCACCCTCGTCGGAGAAACTTGTCATGCAAGAAATCAGAGTCTCGCTTTCCTCTTCCTCGATGTTGTCGATTAGATAATCGCTTCTCCGTGACGGTACGCTGGACGTGCTTTTCCGGCCTCTGGATCTCACGCTCTTAGAATCCTCCTTGTCGCGGCACATTTTGCATCCTTGTGCGATGGACGTTATCTTCGACGGTGACGGAGAAGGCACGTTCGGATAGCGCGTGTCACGTGCGTTAGGGTTCACGGGAGAGAGACGGTATATGGCGGGAACTGGGTTCCCTGGGAAGGAGGAAGTTTCTTTTGAGCGACACATTTGAAAGGAAGGCATATTGAATCTCAGCTTGAAGCGTTTCGCCATCATGAAACTAATACTTGGAACTTGGAACTTGGAACTTGGAACCTAAAGCAAGTGGCACAAACACTCAAGGCTCAATAATTTATTTATAAGGAGAAATAAAATACAAGGCCGGCATGTATATATGGAGTACTTAATTAAGGACAAAAACATATATAAAATTGTTTTTATTTAATTATTAATAATTTTGAGTTTAAATTATGAAGAAAAAAATGGGATACAGTGGTGAGAATGGTTTCTGACCGAATCCAAGTGAGAGTGTGATTTGTACCTGAAACTGAAAGGGTCGTCATGAGTTTGGAATTCCTTCACGATGTGCTGTTCGAAAATGGCTGTCACATGTTACACAATGAAGACACCCACATAGTTGCAAAAATATAACGTTCGCAGAAGCAAGGGGACTGGTGTTAATGCTATAATATTACTTATTGTCGACAATTGAAAACTTCGTATGCAAAATGTTACGCGAAAGGTGTTGGTACGTGGTGTAATCAACGCCGAACAGCCAATGAATTTAACATTTTAAATTAAATAAGGCTTAATCAACTTTTATGTTGTTATTTTTTTTTTCTTTACGGCTCAATTTTGTATTTGATATATTTTTAGTTATTGTTTGGAAAATTTCTTCATATGTACTTATAAAAGAAAAAGAAAATAAGAAATTATAATAAATTAAAGTTTTCTTATACTTTTGAAAATTTATATACACTGAAAGTTTTCTTACAAAAGCTTTTGGAGAAATATTTAGGTGGGAAAAATTTTATAAAAATCGAAGATGCTTATAAGTTGATTTTAATTCACTGAAAAAATTTATTAGTTAATTTTAATCCACTGAATTTTTTATTTTATCATTTCCTTCTCTTATAAGTTTTTGTTAAAAAAAATCGAACATGATCTAATTGTAATCAACAAGTAATTAAATTATTGAATACTATATATATAATTAAATTTTAATGATATGTTAATTTTATAGTGTCGAGTAGATTAGACCTTAGAGAACTTAATTAGTTGACATAAGGCTAAACATCTTACATATATTTAACATGAAATTTTGTGCTCAATTTTTGTGCAAAAATCATTTAAATAAAAGAGCTAAAAAAAAATTTGTTCGTTCCTAGAATATCTACCACCGATAAGTGGTGACTAAACTCCTTGCTACATTCGAGATACTTCAAAGGATGAGATAACTGGTCTCAAGATTTAACGTAGCTGCACACACAAGGCAATATTCGAACTCCTGATCTTGTTTAAGCGTGGATCAACTCCCGCTAAATCACTAGTGGATGGCATAATGGGTTAGTGATATCCGGACAAAAAGATTAGCCCCCGAGTAAGATTCGTAGTAAAATCTATTATATCTTAAAAAAACAAGTTATTAACTCTTCTTTAGACTTTAGACCATGCAAAGTTACGTGAAACACCGTAGTCTTATTATCTTATATATATTGGGAGGTTAAATTAAACTGTGAAGAGGAAATTCCACTGGGGATGTCTCCAATATTTATGGAAGGCTCAATAAAAAAAATATATTTATCTAAAAAAAAAATAAAAAAAATATCTAGGTGTGTCCAGCAATACATTGATCAGTTCCAACCGCAAAAGAATGAATCCATCCCTGTCCCTTATCTCTTAAACTTTTTTTTTTTTTTAAATAAATCACTTACATTTCGACGCACTGCCATGGCCTTATATTTTGGCACCATAACTTCCACCAGATGCAAAACGGGACAAAATTTTCACATTGACTTGGTAACAAGATGAGTCGGACATATACGTTGGACAAATAGACAAAGATATCCAGACAACATACAAATTTCATGCCTTGCCACATTCTTCGGTATCTTTGACTCAGCCCACACCTGTTTGCGTCATCTTAAGATATTACATTATATTTTTTTGGATAAATTAATTCAAACACGTATTAAGCACTGTGTAATCATATTAGTTTATGTTATATTTTAAAAAATATTTTGATAGAAATGGATAATAATTTATATATTCATATTAACTTATTTGTTAAAACAATCATTTAAAAAATAATTATTTATCTGATATCTTCTCATACACAATACTCACTTCCAAACAAGTGCAAAATCCACCTGACTTACGAAGCCTTCGGCCTTTCCACTGCGTGATCTTATCCACATTTGGTATTTAAATATGAAAATTTATAATCACACATCTACTTTCTCTTATATCCACCTAAATCCACCTCTAAAATAAGGTAATTTAGTGACGAATATAAGTATAGGTGTGTCAGGTTTTTGTGTTGGGGAAATTGTCCTCACATTTTTTTTACTGAATCATATTTATTAAATTACTTTTGCCCGTTAAAAAAATCTTTTAAAAAATAGTTGCTTTCATCATAACACATTTTTAAAAATAAAATTATAAAATTTAAATATGTCCTAAATTCTTGGAATTTTTTTTCTTTATTTTTCATCTCTTTAAAATTTGGAATCATATTATTTTTTATTCCTACAATATAACAAATTTTAATTTTCATCCCTATAATTTTAAAAAAAATCATCCCTCTAAAATATAAAGTTATTAGTTTTGGTTTCAAATAATCATTTCAAGGAAGATTAAGAAAATTCATTTTAATAATTTATAAAATTTTGTAGAAAGCTCACATGGTATCAAAGACAACTGAGAGTATTACTTGAGATTATCACTTAATTATCTGATAACACAAAAGTAAATAATAAAGATCACATGATATTTAGACTAGAAACAAAAAAAATAAAATTAAAGGAATGAAAAATTAAAAATATTACAGAAATTAAATACATTTTTAAGTCAAATTATAAAAAAATAAAAAAATGGTATTGATTTTACCACTTTAACCTATTAATTTTTTTATTCTCAAAATTAAACACATATTAAGACTAAAACGATGACACAATTACACAAACAAACATCTATAAATTGTATATTTTGTAAAAATTTATCATTTTTTCTTCGTGAAAATATTAACTATTTTTTCGTCCTCTCTAAAGAAATTTAATTTTTTGAATCCGCCATTTGGTGGATTTTAATCACTGCCCTATAAATATTTCTTATATTTTATCTTTTATTAATGTATAAAAGTCAATAATGTGTTACGTCTTATTTACAACTATTGAATACAATTTTGAGGTGGGGAATGTTCCAATTCATAATTGTTTCGGACTTGATTCAATCCAGACATTATAAGTGATAGGTTAAACGACTATTTTAGTGTAGTTTTAGAAACTTATTACTAAAATGGGGCTGTTTTGAAACATTTTATACCTTTGGGGTTCTTTTATTGGGTGTCGCTATGGGCCATAGCGACACCCATGACACGTGGCATTTTTTGGTTTGAATATGAGCCATGAACGCTATATTGGTAGAGTCGCTGCAGCTGGTGGAGAGCTTCAAAGAGTCGCTATAGCCTATAGCGACTCAAATCGGCTAAAAACGAAAAAAAAAAAATTATTTGGGGCGCTATAACCCATAGCTCCACTCAGGCGCTATGGGCCACAATGCCTGTGTTAAAAATATATCTAATATTTTTAAAATATATCTTATATTTTTAAAATTTAAATTTTTTTTTTACAAATTTATAAAAAAATAACAGGTAAAAGGGAAAAAAAGATTGAAATAAGAAAAAAATGTTAATTTTAAAAAATAAGTAATAAAATGTAAAAAATAATTTAAAAACAAAAAAAAAAAATTTATTTGGGGCGTTATGGCCCATAGCTCCACTCAGGCGCTATGGGCCACAGCGCCTATATTAAAAATATATCTAATATTTTTAAATATAATATAATTTGTAAATAATTTAAAAACGAAAAAAAAAAATAAAAAATGGGCGCTAGGGCCCAAAGCGTGTGCTGGGCGTGGTTGCCACGTGTCCCCCTCCCACACTTTTCACTTTCATTTGGTTCTTCTTCCGGTAAGTTTGGGACGTGGGTTCTTTATTTTTTTTTTTAAATTTATTTTATTAAATATTTTGTATTTGTTTTACGTTTAGTTTAATAATAATATTTACTTTTAAATTAGGTAATTTTGTATTTGCAAAACTGCTGCTGCTGGTTCGTCTTCGTTCTTCGTTTGAGGTAAGAAAAATTTTCATATTAATTTTTTTTAATATTTAGAAGTCGCTATAAAGTATTTAAGTTTGCGTATTTTATTTAATTAATAATTGTTATTTAATTTATAATTATGTATTTTATTTCTGTTATAAATTTTAAGTACTATTTATAAACATTTTTTCCATTAATATGTAGTAATTTAGCGCCAGTGGGAATTTATGAATTTATATTTAGTAATTATTTTTAAATAAAAAATTTGAAAATAAATTATAAAAAAATTTCTATAAAAGCCAAAATAAGAATTGGAATTTTTAAAAAATATTAATTTTAAAACTTAAGGAATATAATGTGAGAATTAATTAAAAAATGAAAAAAAAAATTAAATACTGGGTCGCTAGGGTTCATAGCGCCCCACAGACGCTATGCCCCATAGCGCTTTGGAAATGAACAAGTTCCTGTATTCTCTTCTGTATGATCATGTGTAAAATGGAATGTTTAGATGTAAGTTGGTTACTTCCAGATTTACCCCTCTCTATAATAAGCAACATGTTTACTTCCAGATTCACCGACAGAAACTCCTTTTATTGGCATAGGGGTGGAAATAACATAACTTTCTCACCCTCGTGGGAACACTGGCAGACTGCAGTAGTTATAACATAAACAGGGGATGGCTAATAATAGGGAAAAAAATAATAGCCCATGGCCCATAGAATTTTATAAAAAAATAACGGGTAAAAGGAAAAAAAAGATTAAAATAAGAAAAAAAATGTTAATTTTTTAAAAAATAAGTAATAAAATATAAAAAATAATTTAAAAACAAAAAAATAATTTAATTGGGGGGCTATGACCCATAGCTCCACTCAGGCGCTATGGGCCACAGCGCCTGTGTTAAAAATATATCTAATATTTTTAAAATATAAATTTTTTTTACAAATTTATAAAAAAAATTACGGGTAAAAAGGAAAAAAAAAGATTGAAATAAGAAAAAAATATTAATTTTAAAAAATAAGTAATAAAATGTAAAAAAAGAAAATTAATTGGGGCACTATGGCCCATAGCTCCACCCAGGCGCTATGGGCCACAACGCCTGTGTTAAAAAAATACATTTTATTTATTCTAAAATTACGTTTTTTTAAAACTTTATTTTCTTTTTATAATTATATAATAAATACTTCACTTTATTATATTTATTTTACATTATTATTATTTTCTTTTTTTTTATTTTTTTCTTTACCCAGTGTCGCTATGGGCTACATAATTTTTTTAAGCCCATCAGCTGTGGTGGGCCAGCTCATAGCGACACTGATCCAGCCCAACCAAGCCGGAAAAAAAAAAGCCACGTGTCATGAGTGTCGCTATGGCCCATAACGACACCCAATAAAAGAACCCCAAAAGTGTAAAATGTTTCAAAACAGCTTATTTTAGTAATAAGTTTCTAAAACTACACTAAAATCGTCGTTTAGCCTAAGTGATAAGGCTCAATTGTCCTAACCGGAGCCTAGACATAAAAGAGGCTGTTATTTGCATTGTTCACTGATTTTATTTCATTTTTTGTATTTTTTTAATAAAAATGTCCTTCACGAAAATTAGTTAATGTTACACTAGCCTGAAAAAAGGCATTTTATATTGTCATATATTTTGCTTAAAAGATAAAAATAAATTAAATTAAATATGAGTCAATGGTTTTGAGTAATTATTTACACAAAGTGTAAGAAGTTTAAAAAATAAATTTACAGAAAAATATATAAAAAAAGAGAGAGAATAAAAACTAAAGAAAAAAAGGAGAGAAAAAATATTTTGCAAATTAAGGATTAAAACGATCAATAAAAATTTGTATGCCAAAAAAACATATCATTTTTAGTACCACTGTATTATAAAAAAGTTGTTGTTGTTGTTGTTTTTTTTTTTTTTTTTTTTTTTTTTTTTTTTTTTTGTATATTTTGACGTAATGGAAAATAATTCGTATCAAATAAGTGACATGCGAAAAAAAGACAAATAAGGAACGAAGGGGTGCAGGGAGAGTTGGCGTATAGGGTGTTTAATGGGATGATTTTCTCCTTCAAGTAAAAATTTTCATTAAGTAAGTGTAAATTACATTTTTACGATTGATTTTTTTTTTCTTCTCTTTTTTATGTGTTTCTTATTTTTCATGTCAATGTAAGACTTTCACCTTCTCTAACTATATAGTTGAAACATAACTATTCTTAGAATCATTATCTTTCAAAAAATAAGTACGAGTTTCACTATTTCTATCCCAATTTTTATCTTTTTTCTCATTCTCATACTTTATATATATTTTTGTTCTTATTTTTATTTTTGTCGAATATCATATATATCTATATTTATCTATAAATTAATTAAATATTAAAAAAAATACACACATACAAGAATTTTAACATAGAGCAAAAATTATAAAATTAAATTAGTTAAGTTTCATTTCACATAAATTTAAAATAAAGTAAAAATTACATAAATGTCAAGCAATTTTTTTAAAAAATAAATTAAGTTTCAAGAAATTTAAAATGAGTACAAGTACATGGTAAGTAATTACTATATATCTATCCTCATTCCTGTTATCGTACCTGAGTTAATAAATCGAGTATTATCCATACTCATACTTGTATCCGGTTAAGCTAAATATTTTTTTATTAAAATCGAAACAAGTTCAAGTGTTATCTATGGATGAGTTTCCTTATCATCCCTAGATAATCTCCAACAATATTAATGTTAACTTACCCTCTAGACCGATAATTTAAAAGCTCCTATGTACACATAACAATTAAACTTGAATCTAAGTAGTTGTTTGACCTAATCTAGAAGAGAAAAATCTATTTTATAATTTTTTTAACTTATTACAATAATTAAAAATATAATTTTTTTTTGTTTTTACTTATTTTTTTAATATGTAAATAATTTAATTTTAAATTATAATAATAAAGTTAAGAAAACTCATTTAACTAAAAGTTTGATTTAATTCTTATTTTTTAAGATCTTTATTGTTTATTATTTTTTAATGCACTACAAAAATTAAAATTTAATTAATAACATATATGAATTATTTAAAAATATATAAATAAATTAAATCACTACTACAAGATGTATTATCTACATCGGTTCTGTGAGGTAATCTACATCAATTCTAAAATCGATGTAGAATAGGACAACATAGAAATACATACATTTCTACATCGATTTTGAAACCGATATAGATTTGTGCAAAATCTACATCGATTTTGCTACAAATCTACATGTCAGTAAAATTGATGTAGATTTTAACACAAATTTACATCAGTTTTACTAACAACCGATGTAGATTTGTACACAAATCTACATTAGTTCTACCGACAACTGATATAAATTTTAGCAAATATTTTTTGAAGTGTTAAAAGTGGCCTCCCTACATCTCTTTAACTAGGAGCCAATGCATTATAGTAACATACTAGGAGCAAACTACCCTCGGTGACCAAGTACAAGGCACGAGAAGCATGTGATGGCTTTCCTAGGTCACATTGAAACATATTGGCATCATCTAGGAGAATGATTGCTCTTATTTTTATCAATTTGGAACAACTTTGATCAATCTTATTTCCTAGATAATCTTATTACTCTCACCTTGGTGAACATTAGAAGAAACCACGTCTCAGGTCCTAATGGAAACAAACATATAATGAGTAACCATCACTACCACAATCACTCAACACATGTTAACAACAAAGCACCAAACTTTGAGGTACTCGAGCAAGAACTCATTTAAAAAAAAAAAAAAACTGATTGAAAAGAAGGTAGAGATCATTGAGGACTAAAATCTATAAAAATTATTTCTAATTTATATAATGTTTATTTCTAACCTATGAAAAAATGTCTTTCCTTCCAATTAATTATATTTTCAATTATGGACTAACATTATAATATTATACATGTCAATTAGCTACATCTACTGTTTTTTCTATCATTGTTAACAACACTAATAATGTCACAAGTTAATTGCTATTTAATCATTAATATCTTTATGATTGCCACTACTAGGAATTGTTAATTGTCTTCATTGTCACTTTCCCCTTGTTTAGCCACCATTGTTTCCAAACATGCTTGAACGAAGAAATCGTGATAACATAGTAAAATTTAAATTTTAAAAATTGAATATATTAAAATAAACTAAAAATCTAAATCATAAAATTAAAAATTAATTTAAAAAAAATTTAAAGTAGACTATCATCTAAACATGCCTTTAAGTTTTGATATTGCCCATTGAATTGTGATCTCGTCTCTTTAAAAGGTGTGAAGAAGAGAGAAAAAGAGATGAAAATATATGTGTATTGAATAATAATCAATGAATGTGATACAAAGAAGGGGTATATACACATTAAATAAAATGACTAAAATAATCCTAACTTAAAGTATTATTTACATACCGTAACAAAAGGTATATATATTAGTAGTATATCATTTTTTCCTTCTTGAAATATATAAAGAATTATGATACCTTCCATATTATTTTGAAATATATATTATGCAATTATAGAGGTGGAAAATAGTGATAGTAAAAAATATATATAAAGAAAGAAGACACATCACGATCACTTTTGTTTGTGCGTGTTAAATTTACGTAAAAAAAAGAAAGGAAAAGTATATAAATGCCGCTAAAGGCACCTACCCCTACGAGCAAGGAACACCTAGGAAAGAAAATGCAAGACCCCTTCGTCCCGTGTCTTGCTTCCCCTTTCACTGGGGACACAATTCCATAGTTCAGGCACAGGGAGGGGGCACAGGCCCAGAAAGAGGAAGGATTCTGTTTTTTTCTTAAAACGTTTCCTTTCCTTCTTTCTTCATCATTTAATTAATCAGTTAGGCCTAATAATATAAAGTCCTTTGAAATCATGAGGAAGTTGTGTCCTAATTTTGACAAGGAAGATGGGTTGGAGACCATCCTTGAGGTGCCGATTCCGGAGGAAATGTTGAGCGACATGGGCACCACTGGCTTCAATCGCTGGCAAAACCTGCGAACTCTCATGAATGCTCAATTTGTTGACAAGTCTTCTGCACCCTCAAACAATGAATTTGTTGTGTTGGTCAAGCTTGTGGCTGCCCCCCTTATTCCTCTCCAGGTCCCATCAGACCAAACTCTGACTCGCCCCCTCAAAGATTGTTCCATTGTAAGCCTCACCAACGATTCATAATTTTTCCTTATTTCTTTCGGAGAACACGTGGGCGTTAGTGTGTCACAATCACAAATGTTGTAGATACAAACATCAATTGGACATTTGTTTTTTCTTATAAAGTTGTTTTATTTTTCTCTTCTTGAATAAATAATAGTTTGGTTAAATTTAATGGGCAGAGAGATTCGACTGCTAAGTACATAGTGCAACAATACGTGGCGGCCACAGGAGGAGCAGGTGCATTGAATTCACTGGAAAGTATGTACGCAATGGGACAAGTGAGAATATGTGGGTCTGCGATGAGTCAAGGTGATGAATGTGATGATAACGTAGAATCAAGAGGCAAACCTGAAGTGGGAGGCTTTGTGTTATGGCAGAAGAACCCTGATTTATGGTGCGTTGAATTGGTTGTTTCCGGTTTCAAGGTCAGTGCAGGTAGCGATGGTAAGGTAGCTTGGAACCAATCTTCTTCTCAACCTTTTCACGCAAACAAAGGTCCTCCCAGACCCCTTCGTCGCTTCTTTCAGGTAACATGCAAATTGTATATCATGTCACTTAATAAACAATAAGACTCATAAAATTAAATTTATGTTCATGGAATAACGTTAGAAAGACAATGTTTAAGACTTAAGAGTGTGTCGCTAGCTTGCAATATTTCTCTTTTTAAATTGGTAGATGAATATATGTTAAATCGAAAAAAGATGGTTAATGATATAGATGTGATTGTTACTATCAGGGACTGGACCCAAGGTGCACGGCTAACTTGTTCCTGGACGCAGAATGTGTAGGAGAGAACAGCATCAACAACGAGGTTTGTTTCATGCTCAAGTTGCAAACGGAACAGCACGTGCTACTAGCACAAAGCACGTCCAATACCGAAATTGTGATGCACATAATGTTGGGGTACTTCAGTCAACGCACGGGGCTACTTGTGAAATTCGAGGACACCAAGTTGGTGAAAATGAAGGCCGCTAAAGGGAAAGAGACAGTGTTTTGGGAAACAACCATCGAGTCCATGATTGAAGATTATAGATACATAGATGGCATTAACATAGCGCACAGTGGGAAAACGATTGCCACGCTTTATAGATACGGTGCAGCGCATAATCACAAACGTCTAATTGAGGAAACGTGGACGATTGAAGAGGTTGATTTTAACGTTGTTGGGTTGTCCATGGATTGCTTTATGCCTCCATCTGATGGTGAGAAAGAACACGATGGTGCAGAGCAAGCAGTGGGGATGGGTTAGGATTGCTCCAATTTTTCTCATTATCTTTGCTGCCTCAACTATAGGAAGTGTAAATACTAAATACATTACAACATAGACAAGTATATGGGTGACTTCATACCCTGTACTTGGATGTAATTCCATTTTTTTAACTGGGAACTTTTCGGTGAGACATAAAATGAGTCGCGTTTGAAAAATGTTGGGATGGATTCACATTTTTAATTTAGAAATAACAGCAACTGCCAATTGAAATTTAGAAATTGTAATTTGATTACAGTTGACGATTTCAATTGAATTGAAAAAGTGAAGAACAAACGCGTTATGGCAATGATACATCCTCCGAAGTTTTGACGGAAAACACTTTCGTATTAATTACGATTGATGTTTACAATGTTTTTAATTATAAAATATAAATTTTAATTAAAAAGAAAAAGGTTTTAATTTCATTTCTTATTTTGATAAAGAGGACAAATGTACTAATACTAAGGTTATGCTTGGAAAAAATGTAGGGTTGAACTTTTTTCCCCGATTTATTGGTATTGTTGTTTCTTCATTTCTACCTTTGAAATGTCTAAATACAGATTTGGAGGTTTGTAAACAACAAACTAAACGCAGATTAACTTAAAAAATATTAGAATAAATTTTTCTTAATCCATAATTTTAATCTCTTGAATATTTTTAATTTGATTTAAAGTTATTTTGGTCTTTATAATTTAGTGAATGTAAAATTTTGATCTCTAGAGATATTTTTTATTGTTAATTTGTTCTTTTAATTTTTAAAATTAAGAAATATTGATCTACCATTAGCATATCATTCAGAATTAAATAAAAATATTATGATTTCTATAAGTAACATTACTAATCAATTAGCCACACTAACTTTCATATAAAGAATAATATTACTTTTTATTATAAATATTTTATGTTTATTGTTTTATTTCAATTAAAATTTACAATCTACTAAAATGTTTAATTTAATTTTTTTATTTTTAATACTATTTTTTTCTATGTGATTAACTAATATTGTTGGCAATATCACTCAAATACACTCGTTAGTATTTTCTATTTAATCTTAAATGACGTGTTAATTATGTACTAACATTACTTAATTTTAAAAATTAAGGAATCAAATTTACAAAAAAAGAAAAAAATTGAAGAACCAAAATTGCATATTCGTAAAATTATAGGGACCATAGGAATAAAAAAATTTAATTTTTTAAATTTGTAAAATCTACAATTTTGGTTCAACAATTAAATGAATTTTGAAGATAAAATATATTTTTATTTTGATATTCAGTTACTACTTGTTAAATTTAATATGAAAAATATAATTGCAAGTTAGGGGTATGGAATTCACCTTTTCATGAGAGAAAAATATTCAAATGAGAAAAATATGAAAAAGTGAGGATAATAAAATATTTATAAAGCAAAAAATCATTTTAATTTATATTTATAACAATATAAAAAGAAAATATCACCATTTGATTTACACTTTTTGAAAAATAAATATACTCTCTTGTTATATTTTAATAATTTTTTACCCATAAATATATCTTCAAAGGATGAAATAGGAAAAAAATGTATATAAAAAAATAAGTGTCCTATTTAAAGATAATAAATTCCCACTTTTTGTTTTACGAAAACATTTATTTTATTTTATTTTTGCAGAGGCATGGGGTGTCTTTCTTCACCTAGTATATTGAGTGATGTTTAAAAAAGAGTATTTTAAAAATTATTGTTAATATTTTTCAATTGGTTTACTTGACAATAAATGTGTGAAACACAAATGAACTTTTTAGTGTTTTTACAATAAAAAAGATTAAAAACATATTTAAACATAAAATATATTATCTAAATAACTTTTTTTTAAGAAAAAGTTTAGATTAGGGTTAATTTTATATATATTTAATATTTTAGAGACTATTAATATAATTTTATTAGTGTAAGAACTATTTAGGAGAGTGAGTGATATTTTAAAAACTAAAATAATGGTTTATTTTATAATAAACAAATAAATAAATAAATAAATATATATATATATATATATTATTGCCATATTTATATATAAGAGTATTTAAATATTATTATTCTACTTAATATTATATGCTTTGTTGTTAGATGTCAAATTTATTTGAATTAGTTATTTAAAAGAAGATATCTAATTTGACTTTCTAGTCTTTTTCTTTGTTTATATATAACGGAAATTTTGGAATCGAATGTTAGTTCATCTTCTTCATATGCTGAATTTGACCAAGAAGCCTGTCAGAATGAACTTGTGAAGATGTTTGTGGTGATTGGGCTTCCTTTTCATTTTGTGCGTCATATTTTGAAACTTTGGAATATAGAGAGAACAAATTTAAAGAAGTTTTTCTCTGAGCATTATCAAAGAGTATGCCTCTCCATTGACATATGGACTTCAAGTCAAAATATGAGTTTTATGTGTTTAACTGTCCACTTTGTTGATAATAATTGGAAGCTTCATAAGAAGATTCTGAATTTTTGCCAAGTCACAGCCCATTCAGGAGAGATTATGGCTAAAATTATCGAATTATACATAGATAGTTGGGGATTGAGACACATTTTTAGTGCGACAGTTGATAATGCTTTGCCAAATGATATTGGGGATCAATACCTAAAGAACAAACTAATGTCTTGGAACAACTTGGTTTTGAAGGGAGACTACTTTCATATGTGTTGTTGTACACATATTTTGAACTTAATTGTGAATGAAGGATTAAAAGAGATTGGTGATCCTATTTCAAGAATTCGAGCAGCAGTCAAATACATAACATCTTCTCCTTCTAGATTGATTAAATTCAAGGCATGCATTGAAAAGAAAAAAATTGAGTATAAAACAATTTGATTGGACTTTGAAACTACGTGGAATTCGACTTATTTGATGCTAGAGGCTGCTTTGATGCACCAAGAAGCATTTGTGGAGCTTGAGTTGCAAGACAAAAAGTTTGTTGATAAGTTAAGAAAGGGTAAAGGTGTGCCCACATATGAAGATTGGGACTATGCTCGATTAATTTTGCCATTTTTGAATATCTTCTATAAAGCTACTTTGCGCCTTTGCAGTTCCTCTTATGTTACTAGTAACATTTACATGTTAGAGGTATTTGGAATTGGGAACAGAATTTGTCAAATGTGTGAGTCCAAAGATAAAGGTATAAATATGATGGCAAAAAAGATGAGAAAAATATATGATAAGTACTGGGGAAATTCCAATGGCCTAAACATGTTATTGTTAATTGCTGTTGTGTTTGATCCACGATACAAAATGGAATATGTAAATTGGTCGATCAATTAGATTTTTTATCCTAGCAAGGCAACTAATTTGTAAGAGAAGATTGAATCCTGTTTGAGGTCACTTTTTGAAGAATATAATGATCTAAATGGAGGGTCTCAAAGTGGTTCACAGAAAGCATCATTTAATGAAGATGGTAATAATGATGCATATAATTGGAATCAATTTTTACAATCAACTGGGCGCAAATCAAATGCCAAATCTGAGCTAGACAAGTATTTGGAAGAATCCATAGAGACCTCTTCAGATTTGGATGTCTTAAATTGGTGGAAGCTCAATTCAAGCCGATTTCCCATCCTTGCAAATATTGTTAGAGAGGTGCTGGCCATACCAGTCTCTACTGTAGCCACAGAATATGCTTTTAATATGGATGGAAGGATGCTTGATCCTTATCGTAGTTCCTTAACACCTAAAATGACGGAAGCAATTGTCTGCTTACAAGATTGGCTAAAAGCAACACCTTTCTCATTATTTTCAAATGAAGATTTTGAGGAGCTTGAAAAAATTGAGCAAGGTAAGCTAATGAGATGCTTATTTTTGGGTGTTATTATTTATCTTATGATTTGATGAGTAATTAGGTGTTTTTCTTCTTTTTTATAGAGATGTTTCCCCAAGATGTTGCCCATGCAGCCTCATAGTCATGATGATTAGGATTCGCTGTGTATTGGGCATGCTGGGCTCATTGGTTTTTTGAAATTCATTTTGCTTTTCTAGTTAGCATATAAATTTCTTAGATCGATGTAATTGTCTTTCATATAACTTTGTAGTTGTTTTACTGGGAAGTACACTTAGTCTTTGGTTTGAATGAACACACTTTTCTTAAGCTGTTATGTGTGTTTTTTTCGTACCCTTGTCTTTTCTCTTGCATTCACCGTCAAAGATTAATCAAATCATATTATATTCAGTATTTGTGTTATAATCTAAAATGTTTGTTGATTTACTGAAATTCTTTCCTTCTCTTCATTCTTTCTGTGATATGACGAGGTCTTGATGGGTGATTAAATGTGATGATGTGTAAGAGAAATAGTGAGAAAATCTCTAATTTTCTGTAATTCGGATTCCATCATACAACATTATAATTGTATTTCTACTTGTTTTGGTATTGAATACTAATCCACTGTTATTTAATCACGTCTTCTTTTCTTTTACTTCCATTGGTTATAAACATTGGCTTCATGGATGGCCCTCACATTTTGTTATTTGGTAATTGGTAGTGATCCATTATAAAGGCTTGTACAAGGATGGATAACGAGGTACTGAAGAAGCTTGCTGCTGTCCATGATATATTGTTATTAAGAAAATGATTGTTTTACTCTTGTGACTCTTTTTTGGAGTTTTTTTTTCTTTCTATTTTTTTTAATGCACTACCAGTACCATTTTCTTGAACCAAACCTTGGTGCGGAGAATCCGGCAAATAGGACAATAAAAAAAGTATGCTGTTGTTTGAAGGTTTGCACTTCCTCTCTTTTTTTTGTCCTTATGCTACTCCAAAATTGTATTGAGCCGAATTTGTTAGTTTGTCCATCCTTAATTGTCAACTTCTTCGAGACGATTTGACTTCAATTGCGCACAAAATCTTTATCCAGGTCGTGGATGGATATCACTGCTTCGGACAGTTGACATTTGATATAGCATGAGGTCAATTGCAATTTTATGTTACGAGTCTATTTGAATACAAATTAAAAGAGTCTCCGGGAATTACTCTATTGAAAATAAAAAATATTTTTTTAAAGAAATACTCAAAAACGTTTTTTATTTCGTATTTAAACAGGCTCTATACATGAATGCTGGCTGTTTAATTTACATTTCCAGGATAGGGTATGTGTTCGGTTACTGCTTGTTCTACTGCTATTTCTTGTCGGTGAAATGGCTTTGTTGTGATTTTGAATCTTGAGTGGAAAATATTCTTGAGACGCCAAGTTTTCGTGTTCCTTTCGATGAGGTGGAACGCGATCCTGAGGAATGATGTGTGCATTGTAATTTAAAGTGGTGTCTTGAAGAGTAAACACAATATATTGCAATAGATGTGTTGATTTAAGGTTGTATGTTCCTATCTTTATTTTTGTAACATAATGTCAAATCTAAATAATCAATTGACAATTTGACAGCATGGTAGGTGAATATGATGAGCATTATATAATAGTATAATGAATTATTCCTTTTGTAATGGAATCACTCCTTCCCTTGATGAGTATCATGGTGGGTAGTGGTTACCACAATATAATATAGTCAAATGGCGAATAGCAGATGAAGAAAGTCCATGTCTGACCAGCAAGTGCCGAACCCACTAACCTCTTCCAACGACGACTTGCCTTTGCCTACCATTTGGACTTTAAGTAGTAAGTGAGAGAGAGAGAGAGAGACATGCATCTTTTATTGGAGAAATTCACCACCGTATTACAATTAATCAACACCTTACCATACCCACTTCGATCGTTTTCAAACCTTGTTTGTGCCAAAGAACGAATTAATATCTACCCATGACACCTTCAACCGAAACAAAAACAATGACAAAGAGAGGAAGCCATGATGGTGATTCAGGAATGGCCAACCGTAACCGTAAGAGGCAGTTCTTGTTATGGGTCTTAGCTGCGGTTATCATCATAGCTCTTTGGTCCATGTTTGCTGGCTCCATCACCCTCAAATGGTCTGCAACCAACAACGATCCCTTTGATTCTACTATTCTCGATGTGCTGGTACGTACCCAACAAAACATAACTTTGTGTCATGTTCCTTAATACTTATCTATGACAAGCTTTAATATTGTTTGTTGGTGTTTTTGGTGTGAATGGGGAAATAGGAGGTGGAGGAGAGAGAGAAGGTGGTGAGGCACATGTGGGATGTGTACAGTCGCACTCATACAAAACTACCCAAGTTTTGGTGGGAAGCTTTTGAAGCTGCTTACGAGCAGTTGGTGAGTGATGTTCCTACTGTCCGAGACGCTGCCGTTTCAGAAATTGCCAAGATGTCTCTGCACTCTCTTCCTCTTCAATCACACTTGGTAAGCCAAAACTCTATCATCCTCCTTCGTTACTTTATCACTACTCCCTTTTTCTCCTCTCTCTACCTCTCAAACACACAGACACATTCTCTCTTTTCCTCTTCTCACTTCCCTTGTGATTGGGTTAATAAAATTATGTTTTTACGGTCTGTTACTTAAGTTTATTTTAGATGAGTCTCTGGTATCCTGAATTTTTAGAAATGTACTATGTAAGGCGAAAAATAAATTCTAGTTTTTACAATAATTCAACTTGATTATTTATTAAGAGAAAAATCACGTTTTCACTTTTTCATGGTTGGCTTGTGCAGAGCATCACGGGATCAAGAAAAATTAAGCAAGCAAAGAATAGGACAGTGACCAATAACTAGAGCCCTTCATTTTGCATATGAAGAGGAAGTATTACAAAATAATCCCTTTTAAAGGACCCAAACCAATTATAAATATCTTTATATGTTTTAGGTCAGGATTGAAATCAAAGTATTTGCGTAAATTTTGTCATTGTAAGCAAAGCTTTTGATCATATTTTTGTATACATTGCAATTGTGTTGCCATGAGATCTAAAATTCCTTACGCTTACTCGTCACACATATATACCCCCCATGACAGCCGAAGAGCAATTTAGCTATCACAAATAAATATATCTATTTTTACAACACTTCTCTGTTTATCAATTATTGTTTGACTCATACTAAGTTTAAGCAATTATAGACCTAACCATTACCTTAAGATATATAAACTTAATAAAACTTTTTAATCGATCTGCAACGTTAATTTTTTAAATTTTAATTTTCCAATTTTATAAAATTCACAGCTTTAATCCAATTTTTAAATATGCATCCATTGATAGTTAAAATTATAATATTAAATAGATAATATAATAATTAATATTTAAGTTAAATTATATTTTTAGTTCTTATCTTTATCTCTTTTATCAGTTTTATAAAAAAAATAAAAACTAAATATAATTTAACCTAAATATAATATTAAATAGATTTAAATATTTTTTTAGTCCTTAAAATTTAAAATAAATTTATTTTTACTCCCTCAAAATTTAAAATTATTATTTTTAATTCTTGTAATTTTCAAACATCTTATTTTAAATTAAGACAATTATACACTACCATCAACTAGGTTTAATACAATGTTTTCATTAAGAGGGACATTAGTAAATAAATTTTATTTAATAATATTTAACAAAATTTAAGTATAAGGATTAAAACAAAATTTTCTAAAATTACAAGATCAAAAATATCAGTTTTAAATTTGAAAAATTAAAAATAAATTTACCTTTTTAAATGATTAAAAATATATTTAAGCTTATTAAATATAACAAATTTCACACAACTAAGAGACTAAAACTACAAAATTAGAAACCAAAATCAATAAATTAAATATTATAAGATGAAAAATGTAATTTTAAAAAATAATAAATGTCTAATTTTCAACCTACTTAGTGTGGTTGGGATAGTGTTCAAACTCTTTCAAATGAACCTTCTAACTCAGAAACAATTTGCTTCATGTTTTTATGCAAATGGGTTCAAAACATAATCATAGTTGGTGAAAATTGAATTACCGTAACAAAATATTTGATTTAAAAATTGTTTTATCTTCTCTCTCATTTTACTTTCAATCATTAAAAGCGAATGCTAAGGTGAAGAAATTAGTGATGTGTTGACAGTGGAAAACTTTGAAACGTGTTAAAATAACTTAATATTTATTTAAATATATATTTTATATTATGATAAAATTACTCTTAATTTCATATTAAAATATGAGTAATGTTAAATATATAAAATTATAAAAAAATTATAATATTACTTTTATATCCCTCTTCATCATTAATAATATCTCTATGTAATAAATGATGCGATGAAAAAAGATAAATAAATAGTGTAAAATTGCTGTACATTTTTTATTGTAAATGTACATTCAACATTACTCTTTATTTGCCCATCACTAAAATGGCGTGGATTGAACGGACACATCCCCTCCACTCCTTTGCCGTGTGGTATTGTTTCGCAGATTTTGATTCGTTTTGCCAAGAAAAAGAATCAGAACATTTTTTCCAATCAGGATTTAGCTTCCTCAGCAGATAATAAAAAGAAAATTAATTGAATCAGGTTAAAGCTGACATGAGATTACAAATTTGTCAGCGTGATCAAACGTCAAAAATTTTCTACACTATGACGACAAAATTGCTTGAGCAGATCCAATTGATGCTGCTACTGTTAAGCCAAGAAAAAAAAAACAAAAAATTATTTACAAAAATACAAAGTATGGCTAAAACATATTTACACGTTCCGCAATAACCTGTGTTAATATTAGTCTTCTACAGTCTGGATCTCACCCATCATTATCCGGTTGCTCACGACATTGAATCCCAAAACTGAAGAGCTAACCTTTTTTCCTTTCTTACCTTTCTTCTTTCCAACTTTTGGGAAGGATCCATCATAGTAACCTAGATCCTGTACATCTGTATTTCCGTATATCATGCCTCCAGCAACTTTCTGATCATTCACGGTTTGAAAAGCTATATCCAAAACATCTGATGATAGTAAGTCCATGTAATTGAGGAATTTATCAATGAATTCATGATCAGGGTCATATGATCCCAGGTTTTCTACGAGATACATCTCTGCTTCAGATCTGGACTGCTTCAAGCAAAACTCAAGGAAACTTGTATCTGCCACCCCAAAAATGGTCAAAATTACATTAAAAAAAATTTCAAGACAACGTGACCAGCAAATGCCTGGACCACTTTCAGATACGTATTTAACTGTTCTTTACGGGAAAATAACTTTTGGTGAAATAGATTTGTCAGTTAACATTCGTAAATCAATCTTAAATGGGGATTAATCCATCAAAAACATAGCATGGAAAACAAATCTGAAATCATAAATACCTTTGGTCCCAATAAGCCTAACGCATTCATTCTCGCACCAAACTCTAAAGTCCATGGCTTCTGAAATTTAAAAAAGAAACAAAAGTAACTCACTATATTTAAACTATCATCAATGACCCAATCAAAAGGAGTATATATATATATATAAAGGGGAATTAACTGCGGAAATAATGAACGAGCAAATATCATTACCGGAATTCCTGGTCATTGCATCTTTTTCCTGTTTTAGCAGAGATTGAGAAGAGGCAGGTGATGATGATAAAGACCGCTCAATTGGTTTGCCACTCCCAGATTTTTGTCGACTCAATGATCCAGGTGAATTACCTTTCATGGAAACACTTTTAGAACCCAAGCTTCCCTGACTAGCAACCTGAGGAAAATCTGACCTGCTTAACAAAAAGAACATAATATAACACTGAATCAACTTATCCATTAAAACAGGATTATTAAGGAAACAACTGCTCCAATAGAGGTAAAGTCCAAGCTAGTTCAGAACCAACAAGTATTCCAAGTTTGTTGGTCCCAAATCTTAAATCAGCCTTAATAATGAATCAATCACCATTCAACACCATGTTTATCGGTACTTTCTGTGGTGTCCTAGTACCGATTTAATGATGTCAATTTAATTATATAGACTGAAATTATGTTGTCCAGTTACAAAAGCATTTCCTTTCTTACACCAATTGTTTTGCTCTTTGTTAGCTGGTTGTAATGTAGAACAAAGTCTTCTAGCTTACACACCAAACATGTATATAAATAACAGATGCCAGAATTAACAATTTCAGTAAAGTACATATAAAGTAAGACAAATCAAGCCAATATATTAAATAGTAGCAACCATAGGCACAATGAAGAGACAGAAGCCATACTGCTTATTTTCTTGCTTAGATTGCTCAACTGGACCCCAAAACAATTCATCATCCACTCTGTATGTTGACAGAGAAGCTTGGGAGTTCATCTGGCCAGAAGGCACAGTCTTTGATGGAGATGAAGCTGTAATTGACCGTAAAGAACCACTACTCCGTGCAGGTTGGGCAGGCTGTGATTTATGAGGTGTAGGCAGTTGGTGTGGGAGAACATACTTCTTTTCCTCTTCCTTTAGAATGTCTCTTAAGGATGTAGGTTTTGGAATCCTACCGGAATCAGTAGTCCATGCTGGAGGAGGAGATGGGCTTGTTGGCTCTCCTTTCCAAAGAACAAAATCTCCCAGAGAGGGTCCTGAAGGGATGGCAGGCAGTAGTTCCTTATCCTGCTGAATAGAGCGGGAGCTTTTTCCCTTTTCAATGTGACTTGTGGGCACTTCACTAGAAGCAACTGACATCGAGACCTTAGCTCCTGAACCCTTTGACTTTGTAGATTTTTTCCGGTTTCTTTTAGTGTCTTTAGCTTCAATAAAGTTTCCATCATCTAGTGGTTCTGAATGAACAGCTATATTTTGTGAGGGGAGCATACTAACTGGAACCTTATCATCTCGTTCACTAGATTTTGGTACATCTTCTGCCAATAGATCATGCAATGGGCTTTTCTTGCTTTTACTATTTTGAGATTTAGCCAGATATTCAGTATTATCTGCTTCTCTGCGCCTATCACTAGATACCTTCATAGAGTCTGGATTGGCCACAACTCCAACCCAGGGAGATGTTGAGCTCATGGAATTGACAGGATTAGTAGCAACCTCAGATACAAGCATTTCGGTCTGTGCCTTTTTTTGTTCTTCCAGTTGAATTTCTAAGAGAGATTTTGCCTTGAAACCTAGAGCAGGTTTCCAAGCTCTCCCTGAAGGTAATTCAGTATTCTGTGTGGCAACAGAACTGACTGCCTTCAACTCATTCTCAACAACTGTTTCAGTGATGTTTCCTGGAATATTAGTAGAGCGACCACTCACTTCTTGATGATCATCAATTTCTGCAGTAACAATTGCAGATTGTTTACCCTTACCCCTTGTTTGTTGAAGATATGTTTCATGAACTGGTTCACCCTTGTTGCCTTCTCCCAAATTTCTTTCACTATGATTCGGCTTCTCAGTTTCTGACTTCTTGGACTGCTGCAAAGTCACATTTTTTAGCAGTCCCTTTGCCTGATCAGAAGACTGAGATTTAGAAGGTTTTTGCTTCTTAGATTTCTTCTCAGTAGGTTTTTTGGGTTCAGGTGCTTCAACACTTCTTACATCTGCCACAGAGGACTCAATATTTGAGCTGTCTTGCCCACCCTGCTGCTCTTCAAGACTATCTGGTTTAATCTCCACATCTTTACTCAATTGACTACCTAGTGGTAACCCAGGACCATAAGATCCACCTGCTGACACAGCAACTGGTGCAACACACTGTTCAGGATGAGATTTCTGACCAGACTCGGAAGTTGCACTCACATGCACATCAACAGCACAAGTACTGTCTGGCATCTGCTTGATGGATTTAGCAGTATAGTCAGAAAAGGATAGAGGATTCTGGGCAATGTCAGGTTCCTCTTTGGCTCTGTTCAGTTCATGCAATGGGGAACCTTCAACAGAAGCTGATACAGGCAATGTTTCCTTCTGGGACTTGTAATTAATTTGCTCAGGATGTGTAGCACCCCAGCTGTTTTGATGACTTATATTCTCAAATAATTGGTCAGGCAGCTGGGCAGAAGATTCACTGCTTATATTATAGCTAGTGTCCTGGCTAACACTCAGCGGTAAATCCAAAGAATTAGTAGTAAGCTCATCATGCATCATGGGAAAAATCTCTTTAGGTGGTTGAATTTGAGAAAGACCCACATGCAAATTCCCCAGAGGTATTCCACCTCCCTGCAACTGTTTATACGATAAATCACCAAAGTGCTGGTGAGACTGATGCTCCTGCAGTACTTGAGAAAGCAGTTGCTGTTGTTGACGCAATAACAGCTGTTGCTCCTCCTGATGCTGTTGCTGCTTCAGCAATAAAATTTTATCTAACAAAGGCATTGGCTGTGAAGGAGCAGCTGCCTGAGAATGCAACTGTAGCAAGTGTTGCTGCTGCAACATATTCAACATTTGGGGATCTGGTGATAAACCAGAAGAAAGCAACTTCTCTGCTGTCAAAATACTAGATGGAATATCCGAAGTTTGAGCAATTAAGTTATTTAAGGACAATTGATTTGGTGTTTGCAACCTTTGTTGTTGAATTCCAAATGGCATTTGAACATAATTTTGATCATGATGCAAGTTAATCTTATTCTGAATAGGATCCAATCCACCATGCAAAGGAAAATTTGGCCAACCAGCAATGCCATTATTTAAGCCTGTGGTTGATCTATCAGATAATCCTTGGATTATTGATATCAATTCAGAATTTTGGGACTGAAGCTGACAAGAATTGTCAGACAAGATATTTGAATGTGGTGATGCATCTGGAAAAATGTCTGATTTTGGTGGAAGTGATGCTGCATCCCTCCCTGGCCAGGACATATAAGGATTGGGTACGGATCTCTGTCGTTCAAGTGCCATCCTCTTGGCCAGCAAGTAAAGGTTCCCACTATCCACTGATGGGCCCAAATTAACAGAATTATTACCAAGAAACCCTTGTAAACCTATAAATACACGTATGATTAGTGTAAAATCAGACCACCTCAAAACATAATCAATACAGTATATAAAAGATTTTATGGAGAGGAATAATAATTAATGGCAGTACATTTATGTTCAGAAGTATAAAATAGAAAACAAAATAACATTATTAACCTTCTGGTAGGGTGAGACTATCAAGTGGGGAACTGCTCTTGCCACCAGACATCAGTGATTCCAAAAACCTATTTTCAGCTTCTGTAGTAGAACTCCTATGCATAGAATCATTTCTCAGCATCTCAACCTCACTTAAACCAGTATGCATGTTCCCAAAGGTACTGGAATTTTGCTGCCCAGATGCCTCTGTAGTGTCAAGTTTTGCAGCAGGAAATCCAGGTGGGGGTCCGGCCTTAGCTCGTAAATGGGGCATGGCATCACCAAGTTGTAGCCATGGCGAGTCAGATGCTGGATTTTCCAGGCGAACAGGCAAATCTATGCCAAAGTATCCAGCCTCAAACCAACTAATAATATCTATTCCTTTAAATGGACCCTGAACGCGACCCTGAGGATCTTTATAGAAGAGTGATAACTCCTCTGGACAAGTCTGTTGAACTCTCCTGGATTCAAATTCACTGTCCAAAATGCCAGATAACTGCCTCTTAATGGGATCCCCATTAGATTTCCACTTAGCCACATGAGTATCTTTTGGCTGGTGTGACCGGCTCATTTCTGAGTTTCTTGATTTAATATCACCAGAGATGTCTCTGCTATCATGCATGAGTGTGCCTGCATGTTCACCAAGAGGAGTGCCATGCCATGTAGCACTAAGATGAACAGAATTACTTTCTTCATAGGTTGATTCTTTATTTCTAGGAACCACAGCAGCCATTTTGTAAGAACCAGTATCTTCAGCTCTATCTGTAAAGATAAAGTATTAGAAAAACTCCTAGGGAAAAGAAAATTCAATCTTCCTAGTTTTTAAATCTAGCAAAGGGCACAGTGCAATGAAGTAGGGAAAAAATAGTCTAATTACACTTATGAAAGCTGAAACCAAATAAGATGGTGTAGACAATGCAGTAAATTTTGGAGAGGTAAGTAAAGGGCAAGCAAGAACCCGGATAACAAGATAGTCCACCGATGAACATGCAAACAAATAAAACCCATTAATAATGATATTTGAAACAAAACATTCCATGCTCCAAACAATTTACACAACAACTACAAGGCAATATAAACATCACCCTCAAAATCCAGATAGAAACAAAACTTACATCACAATTAGTTAAGTTGTTATAAAAAGGCAAAATTTCTGAAGTTTAATTTAGTTTTCCATTAGCAACATCTTCATTTCTTAACCACTTAGAGGATGTCTTAAGATCCTTGTTCTTTTCATTATTATTAGAAATAGCTACAAATGTATCATTGCTTTTAATTTGAAAAGCCTTTGGAGAAATTCATTTGAACACTTTCAAATGGTCAGAAACTCCCAGCCAAAGCAATCAGGTTCTTAAAAAAGCTAACCCACTTTCATACTATCCATAAGCTTATAAACTTGATGTACCTTGGAAATGTGCATTTACAAGATTCGTTCGTCTTGAATGCATAAATTCTGTTGGGTTCCGTCCATCTTTTGGCACCTGAGGTGCACCGCTACTAATTATTTCCCCTTTGTCAATATCCTTTAATACAGACTGTTCAAACAGAAAAGCACTCTATTAAACCACTAGAGATGACAGAGGCATTCAGAATAAAAATATACAGTAGCATCAATTACCAGTTCCTCAGAATTTGGTGCACAAAGAGCAAGAGGTTCCAATGGTTCATCCTGTGTAATAGAAGGCACCTGCACAAATTCCACTAGTTTTCTATTTGTTTGCTTATCTGCGACTCTGTACACATCAAGCAAATTTGTCCTGCTATATCTAAAGTGATGAGCTTCTCCATGCTCAAATTCAACTTTATCCACTAAAATCCCAGATTGAGAATGCATATATGTGCCATTAATAGAGTTACCACCAGAGCCAAGACGAGCACGTCCAAAAGAAATGACTGGAGGTGTATCTTCCCCACGGCCCCACCCATATGAAAACGCAGACGCTTGTTTGTTTGGTGTCACATTCGGGTGATGGGTAGGCTCTACCCTTCCACGGCTTTGTGAGGAGTTAGGTCTCCATGGCTGATAATGATCTCCTTCCTTTTCATCCTTAACAAGATTAAAAATGTTAGACAAACCTTTCTCCACATGCAGATCACCATCTTTACCAGAGTCACTCCATTTTTCACGAAGACCTTCTGGCTCCTTATCACCAGGACCCCAGCGTGTGTTCCACTTACTCTCACGTCGCTGTTCAAAGTTTGTTTCTCTATTGCCTGAATCATTCCATCTATCAGATGTGCCACGGCGTGCTTCTCCAAAGTGCCTCGTGGATAAATTTTCAGTCCTTCGATCCATTCTCCTAGTGTCACTGGGGTCTTTGTCTCCACTCCTCCAGCGATCCTTGTGTATGGAGGACTTAGTATCTCTCTCTTCATCACGCCAATGGTCACGGCGTCCACTTTCAGAGTCAAACATGGATGGTCGAAAGACATCCTTTTTCTTATGGCCATCATTCACATCCTCTCCATTTCCAGATGTCTTAAAAGTCTCTGAGCGATTGCCATTTGGTGGAGTTGAGATCACAGGGTTTTCCTGAATAATGAGTAATAAGAAAGAGAAGTAGGCTTTGAAGCAATTATAATTATGTAGTGAAATTTGCACAAAAATCTGATTTGCACATCTACTTTTTACAGAAGTGCAAAGAGAACAAAAAAAACAGTAGTAAGTAATCATTACACACCACAGTTCCTATTGCAGATTTACTCTCCCCTAGCTTTGGAAGAAGCCACTGTGGTGAAAGTGGAATCGGATTGTCAGGGCCATGGAAATCTGCAAAAATGAGAAAATGCTTACTAAAAGAGAAATGAAAATGTTACCCAAACTCAAAATTTTCTCAAAGCAGAATCTAGGGGCGGTGAAATTATTGATATAAGATTCACAACAGACATGAGAAGAACACATAAGATAAAAGAAAAACTTAATATTGTTTTGGTCAGTTAAGAAATAGAACACAACTTGCCAAACTCCTTTGTATTAAAAAGTAAAAAAATATATATATATGGGCAATTGGCATAAGAAATTAAATAGTTTTATCATCTGTTGTTCTTTACGATTGAAAATTAAATAATAGAAAGCACATGCAGACCAAGAAAAACAAAGAGAAGCAAAAAAAGTTTCATCGAAGAAATTTTTTTTTTTTCATATATGTGGTCTCTCACAATAAGAAGTTAATAGAATAAATATTATATATTAATAAAAAAGAATAATGAAAAGAAATCAATCCTTTCTAAAATATTTTGGTATGCAATTCTGATTGAAAAGAAAAATCCATGGCACATCTGATTATGTTGGCTACATTAACAGTTATTACTTGTAAAAAAATGCCAGTGTAAAAAAATAAATTGGGAAAGACAAAGGGGAAAGGGGAACAGGGATAAACATACACAAATTTGCAAATAAACAACAGGATGGATCTAAAATCAGTGTCAGAAATTATGCATAGCTAGTCTCTGTAACCTTAAAGTTATAAGGGAAGCTAGCACATGTCCAAATGTCTGCACTCTGAATACCTCTAATTCATATTGCAATACTAAAAAAGTCTACATAGAATTTCAATTAATTAAAAAGCCAGTGAACCATAATCAACTCATGGGGAGAGGGGCAAATCTATACGTCAGTATATCAAACTAAATCTAACAGAATCACAAGGCAACACCCTACTATAAAGTGTCACCTATTCTGGAAAATTACTTACAGTAATACAGTTACAGTGTCACAATGTTCTAACATTTTCAAATTTCAAACATCACCAAACCTAATACCTTATATTTGAAAAAACAATAATGTTTCATACAAACTAACAATAGAATCCACTATCACAAACGAATAACTAGTCTAAAAAATAAGAATCAATGTAGCAGTCACTCGCAGGCAGTTCAAAATTCAAAAACAATTTAAAAAAATGAGCGGAATGCATCGCAATTCATCAATGTCATCCCCAAACTCGTAATCGAGACCTAAAATTAATCATAGGGGCATCGAAACAAGTTACGAAGAGAAAACCACTTGGGAGACGAAGCAAAACCCAAACTAAAACAGAGAAACGAATTGGTTGGCGTGAGTGACGGGAAGGCGCTAGGGTTTAGGGGGAGGCGAAGAGAATTGGAAATGAGAGATTAGAAATAGAGAATACGGAAAAGGACCTTTGGGGATCGGAAAGGGAGGTGCGGCAGAGATGTGGAGGGGAGTGACGGAGGTGCGGTCAGCCATGGTTGATCGAAGTAAAAGAGTATTCGACAATTACGATTGAAGCAACTGTGCACTGAAACGAAGGGGTGAGAGAGGTGAATATAGGTTAAGGCTCAAATGGATGATAAATGATGGGGTGCACGTTAAAACTTAAAAGGGTGAAACCCCACAGGCTCACGTTAGCGGATGCACCACTTTGCGAGTTTCAGTTCCTCACTTATATTGGGATGCTGGGAAATAAATGTTTACGCGCAAGGAGCCATGCGTGAATTTCACGCCGTCTATCTTTATTATAGGTGTTTCTCACGGGTCAAGAGTTTTGTGCTTAACTCTTAGAACAGTATTTTTTTGTTGTTGTTAGATTTTCAATATCTAACTGAGATTTTTTTAATATTAAAATTTAATTCTAACCTATTATTTGTTATTGATTTTCTTTTTGTAAATCATACTTTGATTTGACCTTTCAAAAATTTTGACTTTATTTATTAATTTATTTAAAAATTTATTTTACATTAAATAAATTAATAAATTTAATTTTAAATAAGTAAATAAATTTATTTTTACATCTCCAATATTTTACATTCACAATATTAAATAAATTAATAAATTTAATTTTAAATAAGTCAACAAATCTACTTTTAAATATTTTTGTAAACTTTATTCTAATTTCATGATTAAAAATGTTTATTCTACTATTATTAAACTTTAGAATTTAAAATAAATAAAAAATTAACATAAGAGGTACAATTCATACACATATATACGCTAATATACATTCACGCATAGTATAATTAAAGAAAATAATCTTTAACAAATTATAAATATTTCTTATATCTCATTTAGAATATTCTAAATAAATAATTATGAAGATAAAAGAAAAGACAAAAATGCAACCATTAGATTTTTCATTTTCCATTTCTTGATTTCGTATAAATATAAATACAAAACATTTAATTAAGTTAGTGAAACTATCAAAAATATTAATAATTTGATTTTTTATTATAAATTTATTTATTTAGTTATATTATTAAAATATAATATGTATATTATTTTTATTATATTGTATAGATAAATAAGTTGACCTATTAGATCTAACAAATTTTTTTATAAATTTAAGTTCAACTTTTTTAAATAAGTAGACTTTTTTTAAAATCAAATTTTTCTTTTTATTAAAAAGGTCAAACCATGTTTTAAACAAGTAAGGTCATAGACTATTGTTTAACGACCAATATATTATCATCTCTACATATCAGATATCAGTGTTGATTACTAAAGACTTTTTTTTTTCTTTTATCTTGTTTTACATTTTGTAGAGGGGTGATTTTTTACTCAAATAATAAGTTTTGGTAGACTTATTTTCGTTAATAACTCACGTTTTAAATTAAATTGTAATAATCAAACTATTAAATTAAAAAATTTTAATGTATAAATCAAGTTTATAAATTTTTAAAAATTTAAAAAATATTTGATACTTAATTCCATTAATTCAGCTTGATGGACGATAATAAAAAAATTTTTACGTTAATTTGAATCTATATAACGAAGTATCAAATAACTTTCTTGGAGTTAGTCTACATAAAGTTAGTATAAGTAAACTTGCTATTTGAGTAAATAGATTTCTCTTTTTCTTAAAATCTCTCTCTCTATCTCTCTCTCTCTCTCTCTCTCTCTCTCTATATATATATATATATATATATATATATATTCACACACGTCAAATTTCAATGATATAACCGTTAAATTAAAAATTTTCAATACCCGTATTAAGTTTATAAATTTTTAAGAATATTTAAAAATTATTTGATATCTCATTATATAAATTTAAATAAACGTATAAAATAATTTTATAATTATTCTTCAATTTAAATTAATGAAATAAAGTATCAAATAGTTCTCTAAATTTTTTTAAATTTGCATACTTGATATATGTATTAAGAACTTTTAATTCAATAATTAAATTATTAAAATTTAATGTAGGACATGAATTATTTAGTGAAGTAAGTTTAAGTAGACTTTGTTAGAAAAGATGGTTGATCCAAGAGGGGGGGTGAATTGGGTTTTAAGAATTCTTCTTAATTTTCTTAGATAAATTTTTTTCTAAAGACTTTCCAATTAAATCAATTGATTTTAAGTCAAAGTGAAATAGAATGCTGAAAACACTTATTAATGCAAGTCAGATTTTAATTACCCTACATGCAATATTCAAGATATAAAAAAAAATATTAATAAACATGTAATCAAATTAATGGAAAACTAAATTCAAGTCAATGAATGGGTAAGAGAAACTTTCTCAACAATCTGTACTAATTCAATCATTTTCACTAGTGACCTACATTCGGTCCCCAATCAATTCGATTGAGTATTTATACTATTCTTTAATTTCATAAGTTTTACAATCACATAATCATATGCAAAATACTTTAGCAAATTAGATAAATTATTTCTTGAATCTCAAGAAGTACCTTGGTAGTACTCCACTACAGGATACCTATCTTTCTTGAGAAACCTTCTCAAGAATATTATCTACCTTGAGAAACCTACTCAAGTAATCAAAAAGTTAAAGGAAATATATCACTTGAAGTCCAAAACAAAACGAACAAGTATATTAAGACTAAACCACTTAGTCATAATCCTTCAAGTAAATGATGTTGACAATTCACTCTATTTATGCTAGAAGTTTCCATAAATGGTTTCAAATATCTCTTCAAGAAAAACATTTTTCTTAGAGTTCACTCAATGATCAATTTTTGTAAAGTTTTAATTCTTTTCAGTTCTAAAAATGAAAAAATGTTATAGAATTTTTTGATAGAAATAATCGATTATTGTTAAGAATAATCAATTATTTTATTTTTCACAAATTTATAAATTCACCAATAACGATTTAATTGATTATTTCTTAAGATAATTGATTATCCTAGAGGCTCACTTTTGAAATAATAAACTATTTGACTACATAATTGATTATTAAAAAAAGATTTTTTATATTACTGAAAAACATAATAAATAATCGATTATTACTAAAAATAATCGATTATTTTGAGTAAAAACTCAATACTTTGATTTTTCATACCAAATCCTTTTTAAACCTCGCATATCACCAATCATCACTCTAAATGAAGAATCTTAAATTAAGAATGATTTAGCACCTAACTAATGCACAAAGCAAAACATACAATAAATTACAACTTGCACTCTTTTCTTTCAATAGGCTATATAAAATACATTTGTAATCATCAAAACATTTACAATCTTTTTTTTCTACTTGAGCTTGATCAACAAACTTTCTCTGATGATGACAAATCCTTTCAATAGGCTATATAAACTTTCATATGTTTTAATCAATCCTCTTTAAAATGCAAAAAACTTGTAATTTGTACACTTTTGCTTTATAACAACTTGCAAAACAACATATATACCTTTCTCCTCCTTTGTTCATCATCAAAAACAACTTATACAATTCAAAGGTTATAAGAGAAATACTCCATATATTGTAGGTCATGCATACAACATGTACTAAACATATACTCAATATGTAGACAATGAAAATTTTCAGAATTAACAAACTAAATGCATTGTTCCAACATAGTCATAGTACAATAATTCAAACTTCAAACAATTTAAAATATTATTCATAACATCAAACTATTAAATTCATTGCATAACCAAAAAAAAAATACTAAAGAATTTAAATAGAAAAACCAACAATAATAAACCAAAATCAAGAAAACATAAAGTCCTAAGACTAAGTTTTCACTTTAAATCATCCTCGATACCAAGACGTTACTTAATTTATTTAACTTCAAATTGTAAGTCATCAAAGTTGTGGAGAAAAAAATAGACATTAGAATAAGAAATTGAATAGTATTTATTAAAAACTAACTTTTCTGAGATGTGAAATAATAACACTAACAATAAAGAGTGCGAGGGAAGAGGTAGACAAAACACATGATAATTTTTATATTAATTCGTCTGAACAACCAAGACTACGTCCAATTCTCAATCCAACTAGATTGAGTTTCACTATCTTAAAAAGATATAAGTATTCTTTCAACAAATCACTTTTGACTCGAACCTAAATGTTCTTTGAATTGCCTCTTTAGGTAATCTATCTAATTATTCTTTCAACACGAAGTCTATTCAAACTTCAACACCAAATATTCTTTTACAAATAAGTGTCTCTAAACTCAACCAAATATTCTTTTACTAACAAGTCTTTTTAGGCTCAAACGAATATTCTTTTAACAAACAAATCATTCCAAGCTCAACTCTATAACAACAGTTATATATGAGTAAAATCTTACATATGTTGTTTGTCTTACAAACAAAACGTGATGCAATCAATTAAGAACAATATCTTTATAAAAAGAATGATTTGTTTGTACAAGAGTTATGCTAAAAATCTTCTTCTTGTTGTTCTTGAAGTTCCTTATATAGTAGCCTAGATGAAGATGACCGTTACAAAATCTTGAGTGTTCCTCATAAGCTCGTTTTGTTTGACTTCGTTATGAGTTTCTTGAGATGAGAAGTGTCCGTTGAAACATTAAATGCTTGCATTAATTGCACTTCATCAAATTGTCACTTATTATTTGATCAATAAGGTTACTTATCAGTTTTAGGATACCAAACAAACTTTTTTGTGGCGTGTGTCAACATAAAGCAGGCTTTGCATCAACTTTTGCTAACTTTTTTCATGATTTCAAAGATCTATTTGTCCTTGTTTCTTGTGCGTAGCATGAATTCATTCACTTTAACAAATTTGTGAGTTCCAATAAGCTTTCTTTGTTCAATTTATTAAGGAACCGGTTAGTTATGTACCAAGTAGTCATTACTTATGATAAACTATATGTATTTAAAACTTTGTGAAGTAAGATTGTATATTTCGTCTAATGACACATTGTTGGTCTAAAAGTTTTAGTGTTTAAGGTTAAAATTAGATGTAGAAATGAGTTATTTAGTAGAGTAAGTCTAGGTAGACTTACTTTTGGAGTAAGTGAATCATTCCTCATATGTACATACATACATACATTGTGTGTATGCGTGGGAGGGGGGAAAGGAGCGACTCAAGTGAGAAAAACACTTGCTAATATCAGAACATGAGAACAATTAATTACAACCCCTAGATTAAAATAAGGGATTTAGATTAAAAAAAATGTTATCATGTACCATCATCATCATAGTTCTTTCTATCATTATTGTTCTCATCCGCGTTATTACGACCACCACCATTTCCACCTCCATCACATTATTGCCGCATCACTACTATCATTGTCATTGTCACCAATACCTCCATTGCACTGTTGTCACATGACCATCGTTATCACTACCACCACCACCATTATCACTATCATCAATGTTGCCATCATCATAATTGTCGCTTCCACCACCACTATTGTTGTCGTCGTCGTCGCTTCCACCACATCGCTATCGCCACCACCTATGTCAGATCACCACCATCCCTAACGTTGTCATTGTACTCAGATCTTAATGGTTGTGTTGGAGACGGTGACGACAACGAGAATGGTAATAGTGGTGATGTGATAGAGGTGTAGTGAAGGTGATGGAGTTAACAACAATAATAAAGAAAAAATTACGATGGCGGCGATATGTGATACATTTATATATATTGTTTTAATTTAAATAATTTATTTTAATTTAAGAGTTGTTATTAGTTATTTTTATGTTCTCATATAACCAGTGTTCTCACTTGAATTGTCTTCTATGTGTGTGTCATAAATAAAATCGATGACTATCTTGCACGAGTATTTTTAAAGACTTTTATTCGATGAGTGATTTTTTATATATTTTTTTCTTCATATCTAATTTGATTTTTATTTGTCATAATTATTTATGAATTAAATTTTAAATATTTTTAAAATAAATAATCAATAAATAAAAATAATTTTATGCTACAATACAAATCATTTATCACAAATTTAAAAATATAATTTATATATTTAAATATATATTTATTCAAATTATAAATATAATTTATATATTAAAATATAATATTTATTTATATAGACAATTTATTTTAAAATTTAGTGACATATAATAAATATTTAACATGTGTATTGCACAACTTAAAATATCAATTATTTTTATATATTTTTAACGAACAAGATATGTCATAATTAGTAAATAATATTGTCTTTTAAATACATGCTTAAAGTTTGATCCCTTAGTTTATCAACAAAAAAAATTGAATTAAGTTCAATTTAGTCATTTTAAAACAATATCATCAACTAGAGCAATAAAAAATCATATAGAAGACAAAATTTAAGGAACAGACACAAATTGATTTTCGCATACAACAAAAAAGAGGTTAGGGTCAATCTTATTACTAATAATTATTTCATACCGAGAGCGAAATTATTCACTTTCCTTTACCTTGATGTGTGCTAGAAGATGGACGTGAATCTTCGGGGTGTTCTCTCACTAGTTCTGATTCTCTAGAGCCTTTAAAGAACAAGATTACAAGTGAAGAAAAAGATGAGCGTAAAAAGAAAATTGATCATAAACTCCTTTTTGAAACTTAACCACTTTTAACCCATTGGTTAAAACAATTAGCTCTAATTACAAACTTCTTCCCTCAAAACAATTAAACAAATAAATCCTTTAAATATAAAACTTTATAATACATACATATCCACATAAAAATAATTAAAATGATTATTAAAACCAACACAATTAATTATAACAAAATACAATAATAGTAATTAACATTATATATATCATAAAACAAATATTTCTTCAATAAATATTATACAAAACAATTTTTATTATTAAAAGTCTCTAGAATATTTTATAAAAATCCCTTTAACTAATCAAAATATATTTTTAATAATTTTAGAAAATTTAGAGTATTAAAAAATCTAATGTTCAAACAAAAAAAATATATCATAAATATGGTGAAAATCATCTAATAAGTAAAATTTCACAAACATCTATAAACACAGACATATGTTTGAAAAGCTTATAAGCTTTCTTAACTAGCTTATAAGTTAATTCAACTAAAATAAACTTATTTGATACAGAACCTTATTTTAGAACAAATATATTGCTAAAATTCTTAGTGTATATATATATATACTAATTATAATTCACAATAAATAAATATCTTTTAATATATAACTTATAGTAGTATTTGATATTCTCGATGAATAATTTAAATTACAACATAAAATTATTTTTAACTATCAATTATATTTAAGAAAGATATTGAAAATTAATTTAAAAATAAAAAAATAAAGTATACGTTGAAAAGGATAGACAATCAGGAAGATCAAATACACAAATAAGATAAAAATATAAAATAAAAAAAAGGTTGTTTATAATGGTTGAAAAAAAAAACTTTTAGCTAATTTCGGAGGTAGTGCGTAAAATTCAACTCTAAATAAGAAAGGGAAAAATATTCACATGTCTAAAAGCATAATTAGATACAAGTCAATAAACGTTTTTAAAAAAAATTATATTATAAACTCTTTATTTATAATAGAAAAATTTTCAGAAATCCTTTTATTCTATATCAAATAGCCTCATTCTAACTGAAAGAACGAGGAGAGTAAGAGTCCTTCTAATTGCATATTATAATGTGTAATATACAGGTAGATTTAAGTTCTAAATTTGTTTTATGTTCCTACATATGTCACAATTTTAGTTCAGGTAATTTATTTGTATAATGTTTGTAGTCATTTACTTTGGTTTTGGCCGAGATGATATATTCGTAGAGACTAAAAACAAATTAATATATTTTGCACTAATATAAAAGTTGGGACTAAAAACAAAAATAGTTATATCGGTTGGGTCTAAAAACAGAAAACTATACATTTTGCACAGATATAAAGTGACGGATCCAGAAATTTTAAATAGTGGGACAATATTAATACATAAATTTATAGTATTAAATATATAATTTTACATTTTTTTAAATATAAATATACATTAAATTATTTTCTATGAGATTTTATATTTTAAAAATATTGAATGATTTTCTCATTTTTAACACTTTCAAAAATATCTCTTTCTATATCTCGTATCAAAATTTTAACCTTTTTTCATTTTAAAAATAGTATAATATGAATTTAGATCAATTATCACTCCTTAATCCCTTTACTGGCTTGATTTAACTATAACTAGTACTCCCTTTATTTTATAATAAGTATCGTTTTAGGTTGTTTCATACAAACTAGAAATAAAAAACTTATAATTAATCTTCTTTATTATAAATAATACAATACAATATTCACTTTATAAAAAATATTATGAAGGGTATAAATGAAAAATAAAAGATAATTAATATTATATTGAAAAACTAACATGACACTTATTTTAAGATTTATTTTTTTAAAAAACTTAATATATTAACTTTGACTTTTTTAACAAAATAAAAATATAGAAAAGAGTGAGAACACTTAGTTTTTAACATGACAAGTGTGAGTACATTATTATAAATTTATAATAGACTTAAATATGTTTTTAATATCTCAAATTTAAGGTAAATTTGTCTTTAGTCTCTCAAATTAAAAATTGGTCTTTTTAATCCTTGTAAATTTTAGAAAATCTTGTTTCAATTTTATACTCAAATTTTGTCAGGAAATCTATCAAATATTGCTGTCTAAAATCTATCTATTGATATCTTTATCCGTAAAAACAACATATCAAATCCAATTGATACTACATTACTATCTTGATATGTCATTTTTATATATGTTATTGATGACTTGAGAGACTAAAACAATTTTTTTTAAAAATTATAAAAATTAAAAACAATAATTTTACAATTAAGAGAATAAAAACACATTTAAATCTTAATATAATATATATATATATATATATATATATTTAAATTAATAAAATATAGAAAAATGTTAGTGGGGGCAAGTGCCCCCATTAGGATACATGTGTATCCGTCCTTTATAAGATCGAAATTGTTATATTTGTAAGCGAGTAAAACACGTTGTTGATGATAGGTTCACAACAAAGACAATGATTAAAGCATGTTTAATTCTTTATGAAGTCTTTTCATGTTATAAACATTTTCAGACCCAGTTAGCAAGGACCAACGACACTAATCATGCAAATAGACCAATTTGATCCCAAGTATTGCCTCCTCTCTTAAATTGTTCTTAAACTGTCCTTAAAGTAAAATAAATTATTTGAGTAATCCCAGAAATATTAAGAAGCCTTGCAAGTATGATCAAGTATCGTGCGTGCTAAACAATTTAAAGAAAACAGTGAGGATATCTAATCATGTCAATGGGCAAGTCCAAACAAAAATTAGAATCCAAAATGCTTTTCACTTTTCTCTTTTCTCATCAGGAGATAACTCAACGGCTAGAGAAAAAATAAAATAGGATATCCAAGTATCGTGCTAAACAAGTTAAAACACCAGAAAAAAGAGAGAGAAAAATAAAATTGTCCGTAGGCATGCTGTATATAGTATATACATAACATATAGGATTCACCCGATTATTTCCTTATTAATTCAGCATCAAAATAACAAACGGCAAAAAGGTACTCTATATCTTCGGTAAAGCAGTTGGCAGATCTGCTGGGACATCTGAACTTGCCTGTCACATGAAGAAAAAAAAATAAAAAAATCCCCTTAATTCAGACCGGATTAGCATGAAGCTGATAAAGAGAACCCAAATGGGTTAGACAAAAATATCCAGAATTGATTCAAGCCTATAATTTAGAGGTCAAAACCAATGTAGTTATTTAACATGAGTAAGTGACATAATAGAAGAACAGGATGAGCATGTATTCACATGTTCATAAGCACGCAACAGAAAAACACTTTATACCTCGTTTTATATATAAGAAACAAATACTAAATTTATCAAAACTAATAAAAATAGTTAAATAAGTTAGTTGTACTAATAAATACCCATAAAAATATAAAATTAAATAGTATAGGTGATAGATGTATTTAATGACTCAAAAGCTGATGAATAATATTTTCAACCAATGAGCATAATTTATAATATTAGTTATTCAAAAAAATACATTAACTTTCATGGAGACGAATAGAACACTCATTAATAAATCCATAATAAATTAGATATAAAAGACAATAATTAATACATTAAAAAGTAGACCATGTTTCTTATATTAAGACTAAACTAAGACTCATTTGTTTTATTTATTTATTTATTTTATATATATATATAGGGACAGAAGTAGTATTTCATTACGGTAAATATATGGTTCTCCTTTTTTCCTTCTTTGAAGAAAGGCAAAGGGGTTTCTATACCTGAAGATATCTTGTCAACATTGTTGAAGTACTGAAATTAAAGCCCTGAACTGGTTCACCTTTAGTACGAGATGCATTAAGTTGCTTTCTGACTTGAGTAGCCAGTGACTGCATTATCATTAAATATGATGAAAACGATCAAGAGAAAAAGTGGGAAGAAAACTAAGATTGAAATTGTACATATATTTCTCAGATAAGAATTAGATGTCTGTTAGAAATTTCTTAGATAGCAACACAATAACAACAGGGAAGAAAACTAAGATTGAAATTGCACATATATTTCTCATATAAGAATTGGAAGTCTGTCAGAAATTTCTTCGATAACAACACAATAACAACGCTTCTCTAAAACATACCTTCCCCAGCTCTACTCCCCACTGATCAAAAGAATTGATTCCCCAAATGAAGCCCTCGACAGCAATTCTGTGTTCATAGATTGCCAACAACTGAGGAACATAGACCAGGGAATTAGGACCAATGAAGTAATTAGAATAGATCCTCATGGAAGAAAACATACACTAACTTTGGCGAGTGATCGCATCATGAAAAACAAAAACTGACTTACTCCTCATATCATGAGAGAGATAAGTGACCAACTTATGTAGAATTTACAACTCCGTCATGGAAGACCCAAATATGGCACATTCATATTTTATCAAGAACCATAAAAATAAAAATAGAAATAGAAATAGAAAAAACTGGAGCAATAGAAAAAACAATATGAACACTAGGAAAAATTAATGAAAACTATTTTCCAGAGGTATTTTTTGCTGCAGTTATTCTGATACAGGGCTAAACTGTCAAAGAACACATCCACGAAGGAATAGACAGTAAAGAACACCAAAAAAAAAAAAAAAAAAAAACTCCCTTCAATCCTTCCAAAGTGAATGCCTTTTTCTCATATTCAATCTCCAGTGTGACCGACTAGTTCGGAATATGACAAATTGCTTTTCAAAAGAGAGAAAATAAATTAAATGTTCGTCCATATTTCAATGATATGAATATTCAATATATTATTGTGCATAACTCTCATAAGAATTACTAAAATTTCCAGCTGAACAAGCTCAAGAAAATATGTAACTGACAAGACAATTTCTAAGAACAGGAATCAACCATTTTGCTCTAATTACTGAACACAATCTTGAGGACTTCCATACCTGCCCAATATTGTAAGCATTCAATGATGGAAGCAGTAGGCTGAGAGAAGGTCGATTGCCACTGAATGTCTGCAGATTTTGTTTTTAAAAAATGAAATAAGAATGGAGCATGCTAAGGACCAAGGATTCAACTATTAAATCTGCAAGTTGCATTGAAGCAGACGTAATATCACCTTGTGAGAAATAAGGTGTGGGGAAACATTCTCCTTTTGCAGCTGGTCTGCTGTCTACAAGAATTTGATTGATGGTCATATTCCTCATACTAAAGAAGAGAAGATTACTAAAAAAACTAGTCCACGACTGAGAAAAATAGTTATCAGGTATTTCTATAAGTTCAGTGCTGTCTAAATCTGCTTGTCAGTTACCCTCAAGTTGGTAGCATTAGCACAGATTTCATCACTTATAGCCTTATTTACTTTTATCTGATATATGATTTAGAAGAATGAAGCAAGCATAAATGTACCTTCCCATATGCAAGGGCATCAGGCTGTGCAAAAAAGTTGGACATTAGCTCGTCATGGTTACTCACCACTTCACCTGATTATAAAATGCATTCCTCAAATAGTATCAGAGCATTGACTTCAAACAAGCAAACTACCATGACAAAACTTGATAATGTTAATTTATACTCCTAACCTTTCAGAAAGACAGGTTGCTGACTTTTCACAACTCCAATAAAATCGCAAGGAATTACACGCCCCTAAAAGTAAGATAGAAATTTCTCAACAAAAAGCATAGTTCCTAAATATTCATATTTTTCATACAGTAAAAACATTAATCGGAGGAATAAAAGATAAGCCACTTAAAATTGAAATAGAGGCAACAAGAAAATAAGATTCTAAACTGCTAAAATATAAATACCTACTGTTTGCCGTACTATGTTATTTGAATAGGCCAATAACAAAGCAGAAAATTCAGGTCAGCTATGGAAATATTAAGAAAAGCAGCATATAGGAATGTCTCACTTGAAACATTAACATAGAAGAATTGTGCTCTTGGACTTTAAATATCCTAGAGGAAAAACACAGATTAAAGATAAGTAGATAGCCATTATACCAGAGCATATTTGTGCTCATATTGATTTGAAGGACAAAGGAAGGATGAAAATACACATGAAATTTCTTCCTGATTTTGTACATGTCAAAATCTCTATTTTGACCCAAGGATTAGAATTTAAAACAAGTAAAAAGTAAAAACTAGGATTGAAATATCAACTGCAACATGAAATTGTCGACATTTTTTCATTAGAATGTGTTTTAAACCAAAACTAACTTCCAGACAGCAGTACTTTTGACATTAATAATTTTAACATTGGTAAACCCTTTAGACAAGTAGCATTTTCAAGTCAGTTTTCACAAATGTTTATTAAACCTTCTAAGGCCAAACACCCTATTATAGAATATCAAGTAAATCACCTGATGTATGAGCTGATAAAAGCTATGCTGCCCATTAGTTCCTGGTTCACCAAAATCAATTTCACCAGCCTCAAATGGTAGAGGAACACCATCAATTGAAACACCCTTGCCGTTACTTTCCATGCTAACCTAAGGAAAAAACAATAATAATAAAACATATTATAAGAACAAAAAAAAGCATTAAAATAACAATCAAGTACAATGCTGCAACAAACTTGCCTGTTGAATGTGTGGGGCAAACTTCTCCAGAGCTTGGCTATAAGGTAAGATGGCCTGTAAGAGTACCAAAAGTTTCATTTTTCACCAAACGCCAGTTAAGAACAAATAAACCTAATAAATAATTCTGTAGAGAACAGGACAAATAAGTACTCACTCTGGCAGGATATCCAAGAAATGAAACATTCCATATGCTCAACAAACCCAGAAGCACCTAGAGTACTCATAAAATGTAAATGAGCATCTCATCATGTATTTGACAAAAGTACAAAACACCTTAATTACAAGAGAACCAAAGGTCCCTGAATCAATGGATCTAAAAAATAACAATGAACCAAATTCATACCCATCCCTATGATTTCATCTCTATTTCCATAAAAAGTAATATATAATAAGATTTAAGAGAAAAAAATGGTCCATAGCTAGGGAATTGGTAATGCTCCTAAGAGTGAAAGAAACAAGGGGGTAAAAGAGAGGAAATAACAGCTGAATGGAGGTTCCCATTCCCTCTTTAAAAATCTTCCAGCAATCAAACATCTTATGATTTAAAATCTGTCAAATTCTCATAAATACCCCCCCAACAGTTTTTTTCCCTTCCAAAAAAGGAATGCATTAAAAGAGAAAAGTAGTCCAGAGAGGGGGGAAAAAGCTGAAAGGAGTTCCCATACCTATTACTCACAGTCAAAACTTAATATTAGTTTTGATTAATAATTTAAGATATGAATACAAAAAATATTTGAAGCATTAAATTTAAAAATAATAGATCCATACAAAACATTCGAACCCAAAATTATATTACAATTACAGAATATAAAATTATCTCTTGTAAGATTCCTTCACAGTACTGGAAGGATAACCTGTATAAAGTATCACAAACACTAAAAAAAATGCTTGAACATGCAGAGACCCACATGTAGTCATGTACAATTAAACTCAAAACTCAAAAGTGTGAAAGGTTAGCAAAGGGGCACTTACAGGTATATTCTTTTCAAATGGCTGTGAATAGAAATGTTGATCAATGCTTGAAGCACCCCTTAAAAACCTTTAGAAAAAAGACACAGTCATAAAGAAAACATAGAAGTACGTGTGACATAATTTCAAAACTAGGTTGTATTTTACAACCAGGGTCAATATTATGCAGAGCATATTTGAAATTTGAATACATACTAATGGAGACCTAACTACACTATATCTCTTTCTGAAAAAGTCATGAAGTAGCATAGATATAAAAAATTCTTATCTACATCCTTCATGTAATCTATGAAGTTGATTATTTCATTAAGGAAGAAGGTGAAGCATAATAAAGCCAGTCCAACCTACAAATATTATTCTAGGGTGCAATAGACAACAAGCACCTAGAATTGAGTCAAACCACAATAAATTAAACTATTTCTAGGAACATTATCCTCTAGAAGAAGTGCCTACAGATTAGAATCATACTAAGAATGAAGGACATACTTCTCTATTACTGAGAAACCGTATTGTAGAGATAATGGCAAAACCCCAACAGCGCTGCAAACTGCATTTCAGGTCATCATAATCAAATCAGTTGAAACTTGAAAACTTCAAATGTTTTTTAACAGAGTAGGAAATCAGGGGAAATAGAAGAAACATTACTCACCACTATACCGGCCACCGACCCAATCCCAAAATGCAAAAGCATTGTTAGGATCAATTCCAAACTTTTCCACAAGCTGCGTCATAAATGAAAGAAGAAAGAAAATTAGTTAGAGGTACAACAATAGTTATAAACATAAAATGTATGTTTTATGATTTTTTTTCTCTTATTAAAGAAAAAATGCACAAAAATGTAAACATAATACTAAAGAAATTTGACTGCACAAAAATGTTTTAATAGCACGTGACTGTAAAAAATGCACATAGTTAAGGATTTAAGAAAGCAAGGCCACTGGATGTCTGTATTAAGATAAACAGTAGTGATCAATCAAAAGAAGAAATGATACATGAATGAACAAAGAGTTACACGTTGAAGAAAAATCAATCAGATAATGCCAAAAGAAGGAAAACATGGTAATACCGTGAGATTTGTGCTAACAGCCACCATATGCTTTGCAACTGCAGAGGGCCTGGAAGCAATGATATCATGATGAGACAGTCTTCAATTCATTATCAGTCTATTTTCAATATTTTCCACTTTCTATCCTTTGAATAATCAGTGAGTATATTTAGAAGCTGGGGACAGGGAGTTGGGTGTATATCACATTAAGTCGGGCAGTATAGGTTCCAAATCCAGTTCTGCAAGTTTCCTTATAAAAAGGAAGGCATCTGCCAAACCCCCAACCAGCACTACTATCTTTGAACAACTACTCTTAATATTTCACTTACCCAAGTGCAGATGAAATCCATTCTCTAAGAGTTCGTGCATTCAGCATGGTTTCAGCTGTTGTAAAAGTCTTTGAAACAACCACAACTGCAATTATCACAAATAACAACAATAAGACATGCAAGATAAGCCTCCATATCTATCTATCTATCTATCAATCTATTTATCCATTATATATAATCATTTACCAAGAGTTGTTTCAGGATTTAATCCTGTGATATTTCTAGCAACGTCAATAGGATCAACATTTGCAAGACTGCAGATAGATTCAAATAGAAGATGATGAGATTGATTTTATGGAAATGGTACAGCGGCTACAGCCTGCTTCAAGATATGTAGCTACAGTAAGCCATATTCAGAAAAGAAAATATCATATAGTTGCAATCAACTAATCCTTGCGATCACACTTTGAAGACATCAATAACATTAGATACTTACAAGCGCAGCTGACGACCCCTTGCGGATTCAATAGCTTCAGGGTCTGCAAGATATAAACATATATTCAACCAAGGACAATGGCTCCACAAAATACATGTGTGTGTGCGCATGCTATAACCAACCAACCCGTTTGAAGAGCAGTGTGTACAAACAGGGGACCTAAGAAGCTTCCCCCAATACCAATTGCAACAACGTCCTTCAAAGGCTTCCCTGTAGCACCAACCTTTAAAAAACAAGACCTAGTAGTTAATATTCAACAACTTCTAGTTCAAGTGTTCACGAAACATCCATGTAGGATACTGCAGTAGCACATTACCCAAGAACCATTGCGAACCCGCTCAGAGAACTCCTGAATCTGGTCAAGAACTTTCCAAACTTCAGGGACAACATTCTTCCCATCACTCTGTATGACAGCATCCCTTGAAGCACGAAGGGCCACGTGAAGCACTGACCTATCTTCCGTGCTGTTTATCTGAAAGTGAATCCAAATTATCCAAAAATGATAAATAAAAAAAAATCGAAAAAAAAATATTAACACGAGCTAAAGGCATGAGTGTGTTTATGTGTGTGGATTATGGAATTTTGTAAGATTTATATACAATGGCTTACATGTTCCCCGCTGTACATGCGGTTAATCTTTTCTTTGAGCGATGCAGCCTACAAAACATTAACACCAGAAAAAATTAACCAGAATTACGAAAGTCCTTTTTGTGTTTTACCGATTGATAAAAAATTCAGGCATGAATGTGAAATGAACAACCTCTGCTAATTGAAAGAGCTTCTGGATAGTTTCAGGAGTGGCTTGTTGCCTCGAATAGTCGAGCAGAATGTCATCGAAGTCACTAAATAGCATGCAAATTCACAAAAATTAACTTCCATCGCATTTCAAACAGGAATAATCGGAATTCAGAATTATCCTGTTTTGGACTTAGAAACCGAGAATGAATATAAACATAACACTGCTTACACCAGCATGGACTGGCACCGGTTATCGTCGGTCAATAGATCGCGTAGATGCGTTTGGTTGATGTCGTCCACATGTGCCTGCTCAGAGTGGAAACGCGTGGCGTTTAAGAGTAATTTTGGAATCACGATGAGAAATAAGAATAAGGTGGATCAATTCCGTTGCGTTACCTTGAGGTCCTTCCATGGCTGGGTGTCGGAGATGAGAGCCATATGCGGAAAGAGGAAGAGTGTGTGTGTGTGAAAGAGAGAGAGTGAGTTCGAGACTCGCGTTGTGCGTTGAATGTAAGTAGGAGCTTCCTCGGAGCTCACTTGGTTCTTCTTGGCGAGTGGCGAAGGTTACACGTCCACGGAATAAAAGTACAAAGCATTTATTAGAAATATAAAAATTATTTCATATTATTATATTTTTGGCTCCTAGAGGATCTATTTCAAATAGAAGTGATTAATCTCTTGATTAAGTTGTTGGAAATACCTGACCTTAAGATTTAACGCGGCTGCATACATAAAGTAGATTTGAATTCCTGACCGTGTTTAAGTATGAATCAATTCTTACCGCTAAACTACGTGTTTAAGGTTATTTCATATTATTATTTAAAACATTTTATTATTTATTATGTATTAAGTAGGAGTACGAGTATTATTAACCAACTAATGTATGCACGGATTATCAATTTAAAATATATTTTATATAATAACATATAATAAATTTTTTATATTAATTTTGTTTTAAATTGCAGTTTATTTATACTTTAAAATTGTTGTTATGTTTATTTTATAATAATAATAATAAGTTAATTATGTAACATTTATAAAAGAAAAAATTAATTCAAATGATTCCGTAGTCATACCTTTTTAAATAGAGATGATCCTAACTTGAGTATGATCATCATAAATACTTCTTTATCTTTATAGGAGATATGCATCCTTATCAAAGAAAAGAAAAAAAAAATATAGTCTTAATTATCAATTGTACAAATTTTTTTTAATATTTTTCTTATTTAAAGATGTAAAATTATGTTTTTGTTTTATTCTTGACTTAAAAATGTTAGTAACTTACATATATTGAAATTATTGATTGATTGAGTTGTTTCATCTTTCAAAATTTATGATAATTAATTACATCAATTGATTAAGTTTTATAAATTTAATATACTTAAAATGAAAGAACAAAAAACACAAAATTGCATTATTTAACTATCACAATATTATATAAACAATATCTATCAACTAACTCATAAAATATCTTGGCTGAGATAATACATTATATAAACTCTAAAGAATAACTTAAATCTTAGTACTTAAAATAATACAACTAAATAATATTTAAGTAAATGTAATTCTTGACTTGTAACACTCCAAAAAATGATATAAAATCCTTTTTTTTAATTTGTTTGATATGCATCATTTTTTCTATTCATGGTTTAGTCAACAATAAAGTATATCATATTGTCTGTTTTTTCCACTACTTAAATAGGATTTTCAAATTTCAACATAATAATCTCATAAAAAAATTTAAAGGAATGTACTATTAAATGTATACAATAAGAAAAAAAAAATCAATCATATATTACAATTTAACATGTATTTTATAAAATTTTATAAATCAAATGAAAGGATAATAATAAATATAAGGAATCAAAATTTAAACTTTTTTCATAATACAGATATTTCATAAAACATAGAGAAAATTTATGAAATCATTAGATAACACAATAGGTTTCTCAAATAATTTTGATCGTCTACCATTCCTTTTAGTTTTACTTATATAAACAATAATGATCTTTCAATGAAAATTCATTTATGCATTATTCATTATCTTCCAATACATGATGGTAATTATGAATTAGATTCTCCATCTACAAAACATAATATGCATTTTTAAATTATATACAAAATAAAAATGAAACTATCATGCATTAGAAATTATTTTCAAATGAAACAACAAATAATTACTAAACAGATAATATGCAAAACATATCATGTTTCAATATTAACGAATCACTTGGGAATGAAAAGAAATATAATGGTAAGAATATAATGATTGAAGGTTGTTTTTATATATAGGTTAAAATTATGTGATGAGAATAACTCCATGAACGAAATTTGTATAGCTGAATCTTTGAAAGTTTTTTCTTAATATTTAGTGTTTTAAATGATAGTCATTAAGAATGTTTATCAATATAATTTTTTTTCCTACATGTATTTATTAGATAAGTTATTCACTTTTATAATGAAATATGTATAGCCTTGCTTTAGTATTTAGTATTATAAGTGTCGATCATTGAAAAAGTTATTTGCCTTATATATATATATTAATATATGATAAATAAATAAAAAAGTGGAAGAAGTACAAAAAAAATTGAAAGAATGTAAACATAAGGGAACTTTAGATAGAGAAAAAAATAACAATATTTATGAAGATATGTAAAATTTAAATAGACCAAATATATCATTTAAAATTATTTCGACAATTAAAGAAGTATGACTCTAAATTATCATTGAAATACATAATTATTTTTAATTTATATTAAAAAATATTTTTTTATTCTTAAAACCTATTATTATTTCATAAAATTATGAAATCTATTAATGAATTATGAAAGTCTAATGATTAATATGAAGCGAGAAAATGAAGAGATATTAGATAATTTTTTTTAAACATATATTAGATTTTTGTTTTTTTGCCAAATTAATTTAGAATATTTTATATAATTTTAATGATATATATATATATATTAAAAAATTGGTATTATATTAAAAAAAATCTCTTGAAATCAATTATTTTGATGTTATATTAATTATAGTAAATCGTAAAATATGGCTACCAATTGTTGAAAAATTTACCCATGATAGATGATAAATTCAATGGATGACAATCAACAATCATTATAATTTCTTTAAAGAAAAAATTTTCTTATTGGAAAATTTATGATATATATATATATATATATATATATTAAAATTAATATATATTTTTTTTAACTTTGATTCATAAAATCAATTATTGGTTCAAGAAGTTATGAAATTTATCAATGAATTGTAAAATTATAACAATTAAGATAAAAGAGAAAAATGAAGAGATATTAGATAAATTGTTTCAATAAATATATTATTTAAAAAAATTAAATTTTTGTTTTTGCAGAATTTATTTAGATTAATGAGTGAAAAAATTAGATTCCAAATACATAAATTCTCTGCATTTATGTCTATAATTCTACTATAACACTACTTATATATATATATATATACACTAGGATATTACATTACATATTAATTAAATAAATAATTATAGCGTCAAAAAAAAGTAACACTGATGTGACATATATTTTTTTAAATATTTATCAAAACTATTAAGGCCTTTTTTGCGTTTTTGTTTTTTAGCTTTTGAAAATTATTTTGTAAAGCATTTAAAAAAATGTTTTGTGAATAAAATAAAAATAAAATTCGTTTGGTAATTCTGTTAGAGAAAAAATTTAGTGTTAGAAAAAAAAAACTTGTTTGTTAATCTTTTTTTCTCTCCAAAATATGTTTTGAAAGTTAAAAGGTAAGAAAATTGGTCGGCTTTATATAAGGACTCAAACAAAATAAATATAAGGATTAATTCGAAAAAAAATATTTTCAGAGGGAAAAATGGCCTAAGATTTATAAAAGAGTATAAATCAGTCTATAAGTGAGTCATATTATTTCTTTTAAAAAAAGTGATTCATATTATAATCATATTAAATCTAGTTATACCATGCCACTATAATGTTTGATTAAATATCCATAATCTCGTACTCATTAAACTAAGATAGATAATTTTTTTGATGTCTAAAGTAACATAAATTATTGTAGAAAATAAATAAAAAACACACATACAACAAATTCCGATATAAACAAATGAAACAAAAATAAGTTGTCATCAATATTCTTTTGGACAGTATGACGAATTATTAGAGAAAATTAGAAAAATGGTCAACATGTGCTACAAAAATAAAAACCAAATGGATAAAATATATATTTTATTTTATTTTTTTATTTTATACTTTAATAAGATATCTCCTTAAAAGACAGTCCTATTGTTTTCCATCAATATTTATTATTATTATTGTTATATTTGGTATACAAATCTTTAAAAATAAATAAAAGGATTGTATTTTATATTTAAATTAAAATAAAAATACAAGTAAATAATAGTAGTTATTTATGAAAAAAAAAACTATATGGACTTAAATTCATCACAAATCACTATATAATGACTTTATTAATTTTATAATAAATAAATAAAAATATACCAATGGTGAAGTATAAAAGTAATTTACATCATCAGTTATTAAACTCTTAATTTATATAATTGAAATTGTCCTAAAAACATTATTTATATTTATTTCATGCAACATTTGTATAAAACTATAACTTGTATATAATAAAATTATTATAGAAATAACATAACTCTATTTAAAAATATTGAATGACGTGTTGAGAAACATTATTGACCTTTTAATAAAACTAGTGACAATTTTAAAACAAAAAAGGTCAAAACCATTGCCAATTACCAAATATAAACCCATAAATAAATACAGTTGACAACTATGATTGCGATGCCAAAAATAAGAAGAGAAAAATATGTCTCTACTTCTATTTTAATGAATTTGGTCCCAACTTGATAAACATACAAATTTAGTCCTTCTTTTTTGACACAGTCAATGTCGTTACTGATGGGGTAAATAGATTTTCCATTGCGACGGTTAAATTGCAGTTTTTGACGTCCATAAATTGCCACACAGCATGTTTTTTTTTTTTTTTTTCGTCCCTGGAGTATCTAGGTTGGAGGCACCTCAAAAGGTGGGATAGCTGGCCCCAAGATTTAACGCGGCTGCATACACAAGACAGGATTCGAACCTCTGACCTTGCTTAAGCGTGGATCAACCCCTACCGCTGAACACAACATGTTTGAACTTAACAATTTATTGATTTTTTTACCACCATAATTTTATTTTCTTCTAATTTTTCTCTCACCCTCACTTTCTTATTCTCATCTTCTCCATTGCGCTGTGTTTGATACCAATAAAATAACATGGAAATAAAAAAAACGAAATAGAGTGAAAATTTAAAACTTAATCTTATTCGATATAATGAGACATGTACCTTATCATAAAAATAAAAAAATAAAACCATATTTAATGGATAAAGAAAAATTAAAATAAAGTATATAAATTAATACAATTTTCATTTTATACATGTGTTTTCTAAGGATTGAGTTCGACTACAAATCAAACAATCCTCATAATATTATTATGCAGAAGTTCATGTTGGATATGAAGACAATTTAGATGGTGAAGTTCATTTTCCCTAACAACAAAGATAACA